CGTAAATCAGGCTATGACAACACAGTCGAGGCTTTCCTGTGTGTGTGTGTGTGTGTGTGTGTGTGTGTGTGTGTGTGTGTGTGTGTGTGTGTGTGTGTGAGAGAGAACCTGACAGATTACACCTTCCCGCTGTTTGCACCTGCTCTCTGCCTCGCATTTTATCTCTTGTACTTTCCCCCAGTTCACACCCTACACAGACACACTTTATTTATTTGTACCCAAAAGTCTATCAGAGTGCTGCATGGCTCTGGTAGATGATTTCATATGCATTCAATGGAGCAGGGATCTGTCCTATGAAGCTAGTTCAACATGGCCATTATCTGGCTTCACTCATCCTAAGAAAAACTATCATCTGAAAAAGCTAAGCACATGATACAGACTGAACATGTGCGCGGTATATGTGTGTTGGTAAAAGCACACTATAGAATGTAAAAACTGCTGTATGATTGTTTGGAAAAGCACTGTATAGCTTGAAGAATTGTATTTATTTAAAATTCACTTTTTAAAGTCTATTTAAAGGGAGAAAAGCATGCCGTGTATGGTTGCAGAATTCTCCTCGCTCTTATTTTTCAGTAATTACAATGAAATTAGATGTAAAGGGACTCCTCCTTTTAGCGTGTAGTTGTATTCTTTCAGCTGAAGTCTCATTGGTGTGAAGTGGTGTTGAGACAGTCTCTTTTTACTTGCTGAGCTCCACAGGCTTTTCCTGGAGTGGACATTATGTTTCAGAGAAGTGCGCTGGGGGGTGGGGCTGTGTGTTGATCTCTTATCTTGAGCATAACCTGCTCTAGAGAAGAGCAAGTCTTCAAATACGCAATCCATATGGCTTAATGGTGACCACGAGGCAGTCCACTAACACCTTGTAGTATCGGCCCAAAAAGGGAATTATAAATAAAAAAATGTAGCACCACAGAGCGCTGAGAGGCAGACCATTTTTGTAGACCAAACTGGTCTACAAATATGGGCTTTTTCCATAGGGTTCTGGATACTGGAGGCCATAAGCTCCCCTCCATTTAACAGTTTGGTGTTCGTCTTTTCGTTGTCACTTTTCTAACCTGTAACTATTGTGCTTTTTAAAACCTTTTAATGCAATATCAGCTTACACCCCCAGTAAGCTCTGCTGCACAGCATACCGAGTCTGTGCTTACATCCTCATGGAGTCATTGCTACAATCTGCATAGTAGCCCAGTGCACAAAGTAGAAAATCTGATGGTTGAAATCAGAGAAAAGGTCTCAAAATGTCTTCTTTTTCTTATCAGTTCACTGTGTTTTTGTTTTTTTGTTTAATTATAGTGCACCATTTAAATATTGTTTGGTCTTACCTTCTAGTTAAGGTTCTAAAGGTTTTTATTTTTCAAACATGATAGTTTTTCCTATTGTGTTCTTTTTTTATATTCTTGTAAACTGAATGGTTTACCTGCAGCGATCTTTGCGCAGAATCTCAGCTATAGCAAATTAAAAATGGCCTCCTTAAGTTGCACTTGATTTCATTTCCACATGCAGGCACACAGAAGTGCTCGCACTGGCTCACATGGCTTAAATGGTTCATTTCTTGTTTCCCTGTTCTTCTGCTGCTGCCTTCTGCTGACACCTAGTGGCTAAACATGAGTCTGCAACCACTGTCTGTGCTGAACACAGTATTAAGGTCACATTTTAAGATTTTAGGTGAGGGGGAAAAGCCACAGTGAGAGTTTTGATATTTCTGTGTCTCTGACAGGCACACCTGGCTCTGTGCAGCCTTTCCATCTGTGTGTGTGTGTGTGTGTGTGTGTGTGTGTGTGTGTGTGTGTGTGTGTGTGTGTGTGTGTGTGTGTGTGTGTGTGTGTGTGTGTGGTGTTTTTATTGCGCACAGATTTTAACGAAGTTGTATAGTTGCGAATTCTAACACATACTTCATACCGTGTACATTGTTATAACATACCATAATAGACCCATTTCTGTAATATACTTGCATATCTATATTATTGCTAATATATATTGTAATATATCTATATCATGGCTAAAGCACTTCTGGATGGATGCAAACTGCATTTCGTTGCCCTGTGCATGTGCAATGACAATAAAGTTGAATTCTATTCTATTTTATACGTGTTATGTAATGATGTGAGTAATTGCCCGCTGGTCACCATGGTCAATATGTGCATCAAACTCATTCATAGCATTTTATCCTGTTTTGTTTGTTTGTTTGTTTTTTAACCCATCTCCACAGCTAACTGTTCATTGTAAAAAAAAATAAATAACAGCACACATTATTTGATTGTAGACTCAAAGAGGCTCAAATAAAAAAAAATTATTTATTTTTTTATTTGGAGAAATTTGACCAAGACAACAGAAGCGATTGAAAGATGATTTTCTTTTTTTTTTCTTTTTTTTTCTTTTTTAAATTGCATCATTTTCCTGCATCTCTTTTGCTCCTCCAGGCAGCTTCAGGAGGCACAGAAACAGAAGGAGATGGAGAGGGAGCGCCAGGAGCGAGAACGTCAGGAGAGAGAGCGTCAGGAGCGGGAGCGCCAAGAGAGGGAGCGCCTGGAGCGAGAGATGCTGGAGCGTCAGGAGCGCGAACGTCAGGAACGGGAGCATCAGGAGAGGGAGGCGCAGGCAGAGAAAGAGCGACTTGAGCGGGAGCGCCAGGAGCAGCAGGAGCGTGCCGAGCGTGAACTGATGGAGAGGGAGAAGGTGGAGAGAGAGCGGCTGGAGAAGGAGCAGCAGGAGCAGTTGGATAGAGAGCAGCAGGACTGGGAGAGAGGGAGACGCATCTCCAACGCTGGTGAGTAATCCACTTTTGCGTTTCTGCTGCTGCGCACACTTGTTTCATTTTACTAATTTTACTACTACAATATTACTAATGTGACTGTTTTCTGTCCAAGGAGCAGTTTGTCTCAGGCTCACAGTAAATATAGACTAGTCAATGACAAGCGTTATCTTTCAGTTATCTCTCCAAAGTACATTTTAAAATGGTCATTTTTGTTATTTGAACATTTAGTGAAGTTTTTGTGTCAGTTTCATACAGTGTCATTATTGTGTTAATATTTAACAGTTTATTTATACGCGTGGTGGTTTTCAGTTGGTATAAAACAAAATTCCCTAAAAATGGTACATGATCTGAGTGATGATGTGATATTTAGACTTGTTATACTTTAACCACAATGCATATTTTTGTTTTGTTTGGTTGGGGGGGGGGGGGGGTTTTTTGTCTTCTTATCCATCCATCCCAATTTAAAAAAAACAACAACTCAGTTTTCCAGCAGCAAGCAGTGCCTGCTTTTGCATTGCACTGTGGGTGAATAAAGTCCATTAGCAGTGCACTCAAATATCCAAGTCTTCTTTGTATTCATGGTGACTTTTTGAATGAGGCTTCATTAATGAAGCCTCATTCGGAGGGAAAGGAGTTAATCCCTTTTAACTCCTTTCCCTCCATTTAAGAGAGTTTAAGAGAGTCTCCTTCTGATTGGCTGCAGCTTGGAAACAAAATTTGAGCCAGCTGGGAGGGGCCTCTGTGCTCACAGGAAGCATTGTGTGTTTGAGATGACCATGTTGGGATGCCTACTCGCATTGATGTCATAAAGCGTCAAGGCTAGAAACATCAGTCTGAAGCCTGAGCACTTGGCTCACAAAGAATTTGCACGCATATGCTGACCTCATTACTGGACCCTTTTGCTATGTTTAATATGAACATCCACTTCTGGAACAGTACACATATGACTAAAAGTAAGGAAAAGCAGAATTGGTCCATTTCTCGGAAGTAGCAGTTGATAATTTTCCAGTAGAAACGCTCCGAATGTTCCAAAACAGGTTACTAGATGCAGTACTTGAAATACAGGAAATGTATTGAAGAATGAAGAGAAGCGTTCTGTTTTAACATTTTCATCTAGTCTCATTGGTGCTGAGTTACAGTAATCTCATCTGCCAGGCGCTGTGAGCAGATTCCACATGAATGCAACAGTTAGCGTGTTATGTTAGAAAGTGTGCTGCCAGCTCATACACAAATTAAAATTCTACAGTTTATAAACTCTGAGACTGAGGAAAATAATTTTGAACAAACACATCACCTCAGGCAAGCATAGAAAATGAGTGCAAATATTTGCAGTCAAGTGTAATTACTGCTTAAATTGAGCAGCAGGGTAGAGGTGTAGGTAGACGCCACCCTAGTGTTGTTTGCGTTCTAAACTGGAGCTGTTGGTTGTTAGATAAGAATGAAATTTCCTATAATCCAACTCTGGGTCAGTGGGGAAGGCTGTGTTGGATGGCATGCTTCAGTGCCACGCTTAGCCAATTACCATATGCATGCATAAGCACACACACAGAGGCAGGCAGAGTTCAGTGGCCTGACTCAGAGCCTAAAAATACACCATCATGTCGAATGCTGGTGAAACCCCCCTGGGGTTGGATGTTTGTGTTGGTGTGTGCGTACGTGCATGTAAAAGCCCTACATGTCATGCAGAATAACACTAAGAAACAGGGTGCAGTGATTGCTGTTTACAAAATCTGAAGTACCACTGCAGTGACTGTGAGGGAGCTACTAGGATGCTATCTCACAATCAAATCAGAATCTAACAGGAACTTGGGCTGATTGTGTGATTGTAGCTGTAACTTGTGTGATTGCTGTGCTGTATGATTTTTTTTTATTATTTTTTTTCTAAATTCTTCTTTTTAGAAACAAGTTTGCCAATTTATGAGCTGGTGGTAGAACCATATTTATTTCAGCAAAAAAAGTTGTTTTTTTTAAACTATGTCCAATTAAGAAATTAAATTAAACTTAATGTAGAAAATATATAGTATTTACAGTAACTCTATATAAAAAAATAGTCCTGTGAAAATGGGCTCACAGAACTTTTAGACAGTGGACCTGGGTGCCTTGTGAGAGGCAATGACAGATTTAATTAGGTGTCCCTTCACGTTTTGAAAGATGAATTCTGTTTCAGTCGAGCCCTTCATCTTACAGTCACAAGACTCCTTGCTCCAACTCTACATGCACATATACTTCTTTGCAGAATTGAAGATTCTGCAACCCTGACCCCACTGAGACTTAGCAGTGTTGGGCTTCATGGCCCTCCCCGTATTTGAACCTCTGCAGGAGGTTGATTTAAAACATCTGTTTGAAAACAGTTTTGCTGCTAGCTTTAGCATCTGCTAAACATGTCAGTAACATTCATGCACTTTCAATGTACTCTTCGTGGACTCTGGTTTTCCCAAGGGCAGACCAGGGTATTGCTGAAACCCAATGGATGTTGCATTTGATTGTGGAGGCAGTTGCTCTTGGTTATATAAATTGGGGGTTGCAGGCGCCAGTCTACTATACTAGTAGTCTGGCAACCAGTGCACTCATGGCCTTGGAAAATGTAGCAAAAGCAACACTTAACTACAAGCTCGGGGTCCTCACTTGGATAGATGGGCTATTTGAGAATTGGTAGTGATGAGCATTTCTGGCAATGCAAGAGTCTGAGAATTTGAGATTACTTGTGTAATCCAGGTTCTCAGAGTAGCATGAGTGAGAATTCTCACCAGGTAGCTGTCCTCATTGAAGCGAAGCAAGATGAGGGGCTTATCTTGAATAATAACTCTAGCACGACTCTAGGTGGGCTATTCTGCCCAACGTGGTCATTGCAATCACCGGCCAATGAGGAAGGCCCTTCCCATTATACTTTCACTCGTACTACTCTGAGAACCGAGGTTACGCAAGTAATGGTGCTAATATGAACATCTAACATCTGCAATAAAAAACAATCACAAAATTATCTTTTGTGAATATTCCCTTCCACAGTATTACTCTGAGCAAAAACCTAAAATCCACTCGCAAAACTTAGGAAAAAAGGTGTGGAATTGCAGCACGTGTAAAGTGAAGTAGAGCAGAAGGTGATGTAAGGATTACACCATCCACAAACATTGAAAACATATGGCAGGCACAGAGAACACAGTCTAGGCTATGCTAAGCACTAGAGGTGCAAAATCAAAGTAATTAGACAGGGTGGGACCAAGCTAAGATGCATAATGAACAAGAGAGGGAATTTAATGTGAATTCATTGCATACTGTTCCTTTTTGACATGAAGATGTGCTTCTACACCCCATTAAAACAATATGAGGTGTGATCAAAAAGTTCAAAATATTTAAAAACATTTAAAAATCAATCAAATCATTCAAAAATCAAAAAACCTTACTTGATTTAAATGTGCCTGATGTTCCATTCATAATGGGGTTTTTTTTTATTGCTGCAATTTTTAGATCAGTCTATAGTAGGCCCATTGAGTCCAATCATACTTCTGCCTTGTTTTTTGTTTTTGTTTTTTTTTGTTTTGGGGGTTTTTTTTTGTTTTTTGCTTGTTCTCTCAACAACACAAATGAATGTTGGTGAGAAAAAATAAACTAAGCATACTTGTGGTCTGGTTCTTCATCAAAATGTAATATTTTCTTAACTTTCTAAAGTAAAAGAAGTAAAAGCGGCCTCAGGCTCAATTTGACTCTTGTTTTCTTTACATTTTAATGTATTATCCCTTTCTTGTTCTTAAAACATCAGTTTAAAAAATAATGGACACCAATTACAATATGGGCATCCCATCTACTAGTAAAGACTCTGATTTGGACATATAAGCTATGCATCTGTATACTACAAACTGGAAGATCTCCAGGTTGAGGAACTGGGTTCAGAATGTTGTCTTTCAAATGAGAAAGATGGGTCTGTTATTATCAGTGTTGGTCAAGTTACTTGAAAAAAGTAATCAGTAACTAATTACCGTACTGATTACTTCCCCAAAAAAGTAATCCCGTTACTTTACTGATTACTTATTTTCAAAAGTAATTAATTACTTAGTTACTTCAGTTTCACGATTTACAACCTGAATAGGCAATAAAGCGATAGATCTTTCAGCCCAATTCTACTTTTTCTGCATAATCCATCATACAAAATGTAATCAAATGGAAAGGTCCCTTTTTAAAACTTGTTTTATTAGTTTTAATCTTTTAACTTTATGCATCAAGCAAAAATTTAATTATATGCAACATTCTCTGACTGGAAGAAATTTGTTTAATATTTAAACCTATTTTCTGCACATTCCAGCACATAAAATAATTTTTTTGTGTGTGTTTACACTCACTCTTTCAAATAGATGCAAGTAAAACACAGCAGAAAATAAATAAAATCAAAGACTCAGCGGTCCTTTTGCTCTATTTTCACCTGTAAAGCAGGAGTGTGGTAGGCGGAGGTGCACCTGGTGCAGGTGTGCCGCGGCGGTCAGTGGAAGAATCCACGAGTTTCTCTGAGTTTCCCATTACGTCGTAGCTACTCGGTGCTTGCTTGGAAGTTTAGGGGATTATTTTCGCTGTAAAAAGAAGTTTTCTTCCCACGCACAACGGACGCTAATGTTTTTGTCACTTTTTATGGAATCTAACTCAAAGTAAGGTCAGTACTTCCTCGCTTTAAACGCTGCACGCTCATACTCTCTCCCGCACTCGATATATTATCCACTGTTGATCTGCAGACAGCTGTTGTCAAGAACGTCGCACTCGCTTACGTCACTGTCATGAGACATTCTCGAAAAAAATCACGGTTTTAGTAACGCAGCGTTCCTACGGGAAAGTAACAGTAATCTAATTACCGTTTTTGCAATAGTAATCCCTTACTTTACTCGTTACTTGAAAAAAGTAACGCGTTACTGCCCATCTCTGGTTATTATGTAGGTATGACGATACTGCATACTCATTACAATCATTAAACTATCAACAGTGCAGCCTGACTCTTCCTAAAATGTGAAAGGTGCATGTGTGAAGGCAGCTTTACAGAATCATTCTTCATGCAACTATCACACTGCTCAAAAGTACGATTATCCATATAACTTTCATCACCTTATCCCGGACAAGCCCCTAGTTCTGCTAATCATATTAATGTTGTTGTATTCATGCATGACTATTGCAATTACATTTCAGAAAATTTTCATTGTTTAATGTCTAGAATTAATTTATCTGGACCTGTTTGTGCTGCTGTTGAATAGTCTCTATGACATTGGTATGTTCGTCTATACTTTGGATTTGTTATGTGAGATATCAGAGTGAGATGAGTGGTAAGCTGTCATTTGATTGTTGTCCTCAGTACGTTCATTCTTTCCCTCTTCTTTCAGTGAGTAGAAGTCTGAAAGCTTTATATCTCTACCTGTGTCCTCAGTGCTAACACCTGTTTACTAACACAGTAGCATCACCTTAGCCTAAGAACATACACACAAGCTGGAGGAAAACTTTAGTTTAGCTCTGTGCTGGTTTTTTCTGCTTCATCTGCCCCCTTCTCTTTTTTCCTCCCTCCCTTCTTCCGTCTATCTTTCCTCACCTGCTGTCTTTCCCTTCTGTGTGCACGACGGCTGCTTCCTTCCTGCCTTCTTTCCTTCGTTCTGTCCGCTTCTGTCCTGTCTTGTCCTCAACCTCGGTTTTGTCCAATTCGCACGTCCAGCTTTCGAAAGCACATTGTGCACCCCCACACCTCAGGAGTACGGCAGGACCCCCTCCACGCCCATATCTCCATCCACGCCCACTTACCCATCTCCTGGGACCCAGTCGCCATCCTCCACTACAACACCCCCAACCCCCCCACTCAGGCACTCAGCCTCCCGATTTGCCACCTCACTCGGTTCTGCCTTCCATCCTGTCCTGCCTCACTACGCCACAGTTCCACGGCGACAGCAGGCATTTCCCCAAGCCCCACCGCCTGCCCCTGCTCCTGCCCCTGCTCCAACTCCTCCTCCACCCAAGTCTGTGGTGTGGTCAGCGTGCAATTTTACTCCATTGCCTCCCTCACCTCCGGTCATGATAAGCAGCCCCCCAGGGAAGGCCACCGGTCCAAGGCCACTGATCCCGATTGCCGCACCATCCCCTCTCACCCAAAAGCCTCCCTCGCCATCCCCCAATGGGCCACCCATGTTTCCCGCACCTTCTCCTGTGACCATCCCACACGGCCACACCCCCCTCAGTATTACTTGCCCAACACCACCTCCCCCGCCTACCCCACCCCCTCTCCCTTCGCCCATAGCTCCCCCTCCGTCTTCCTCCTCAGTCTCGTCTCCCCCCTCCTCATCCCAGGCTCCTGGTGTGCCCTCTCCCTCCACAGCGCCCCCTGCTGCTGCAGCTGCTGCTGCCACCTCTGCCTCTGCTGAACACCTCTGTTGGGGCCTGGGTCTGTCGGGGCCAGGGGAGCTGGACACAGCCGCAGGCTCAGAGCCCCAATCGGCTCAGGGGGATTCCTCCTGTCAGCCCCAGCCCCAGGGTAAGGCCTCCAGTCTGGATTCTGCTCTCTCTTTCTCACTGCTTTTCTCCCCTCTGTCTTTCACTGCTTGCAACTCACACTCTAACAGGGGTTGGTTGTTACATTGTCACTGATCTGGCCACAACACAAAGTAAGTCCTGTGACACAGACTGATCTAGGAGTTTTCTTTAGAAAAATTGTGCCTTTCCTGGTTGCTGTAATTCAACTCAGTCTGGTTACTTTTTCTAATATTAAAATATTCACTATGGTAACTTTTGTGGGATCTCAATGTGTAACAGCTATTGTTTTCCAACTTCTAGCTTCTTTGTCAGTCTCACAAAGCCTGTGTATGTCCTCGTGTTGGCTGGCTGTTCATTAGATATGAAATGTGTTGTTGTTCAGCATGGCATGTCTGTGTCTTTGACAGACCTGCGTAAAACTCTTGCTTTCTTCATCTCTTGCCTGATTTGTTTTTCTTCATTCTCAGACAAGCTTCACACACATTTGACCTTTCACTCTCCATAATTTGATTTTTTTTTACTTTGGGTCTGGAAGCCAATTTCTAAGCAGGCACAGCTGGAAGCTCACTCGACTTGATCAGTGGAACATCGACTGTGCTGTTCAAATCTTATCCACATGAACTTGTTCTGTAATATTAGGAATGCACCAAACATTAAGAGAGAAGCTAATAGGAAAACTGTCATTGATTTAAAGGGTAATGTCAAAAAGTCTAAAGAAAAGAAAAACTGGTGTCACTTTGAAATGCAGCTGTTAGCTTCCTCTTAACTATGTTAATTGTCCCACTAGTGATGGGCGTGCTCCTTCTGACACAAGGTGCAGCAAACACAGAACCTTTGATATACCTGATCTAATTTTTTTGAGACAGGCTCTGATTGGTGCACCTGTAGGGAATATGCTTAAAAGTAAAGATGGGCAAAGGAGCTGATTTGTACTAAGAGTAAAGTAACAACAAATATTTCAGAGTTCATCACAATGATTGGGCGAAAGAGGCTGGATTACTTGTATCATACCATAGGTTCCGCACAAACTATCCCACATAAAGCAAACATCTGGTTGTTTGAGACTCATTTATGAATTAATGCTTCTTCCCAAGTTCCTTTTCATAATTGTCTTTTGGTTTATGCATTGGTGTGTACATGCATGCTTGTATGTGTATGTATGTCATTGCACCAAAATGTTTGTTTAATTGAATGTTTAGTGTGGCTTGCATGTCTTAGTTCTGTTTATTGGAATGTTAAATGGTCCAAATTGGGCTTTCAGTAAACCATGAAAAGCAATTGTGATATCTGACTTACCCCTTTGGCACGCTGCCTTCCTTTAAACGCAAATCCAGTCATTAATTCCACATTTTAATAAAACAAATTTGCTCTAGTATGATGTTGCATGCCATCATCCCTTTTATATGTTGAAAAGTAGGGACACACTGGCAACAAATCCTGCAGTTTGGTTCCAGTAATGCAGTTCAAATTAATAATTGATCTGAAAACCTGTGGCTAACACGTAGCCAGCAGGGTCAAAATGAAATATGACAGTTAAATGTCAGCCACAGATATACAAACATAAGTCAGTATCATATTTAAGAAAATAGAACTACTTTGCCTATTTGGGGGGTTTTTTCCCCCTCAAAAGTGATAGTTTAGTGATAGTTCAGTCTACATCCTAATCCATTTTCAATACATTTTCTCATCATTAAACAGTCAACTTAACTATCCAGTGTCAGATTAAAGACAACATGAAAATAGGGTTTTTCCTCCTGTTTTTTCGTGCGCTTCCCCAAAGAGCTTTTGCCCTTCCCCCTTTCAAAAAAAAAAAAAAAAAAAGGAATTTGATTTGCTTAAGCATAAAACAGGGAAAGTAGAGGTAACACAGAATCATTGCTTTAACAATATGGAATGTAATCATGCTATTTTGTGTGGTCCCACCTCAGAAATCCATCTAATCGCTGGAGTGTGATCAGTTTTAATGCAAACATCCTGCCGTCCGCAGGTTTGTGTCTGGAATTGTTCTGAAAAATGTCTTTCTGTCTTCACCCATCCCCCACTGCTCCTTATTCCACCCCTGTCCCTAACAGACGTGGGACAGACTCCAGGGCTGACCACCCCCACCCCTCCCCCACCTCCACCCCTGCCACCCGGCTCCACTGTGACCTCTGCGGCTGCTACCCCGGCCGTCACCCCCACCACCCCCGGCGGCCACCCTCCACCCCCGCCACCTCCTCCACTCCCTCCGACACTGACTCCAGGCGGGACGCCACCTCCTCCGCCGGGTCCCCCTCCCCCTCCCGGAGCTCCACCACCACCCCCAGCACCACCTCTTCCCACTGGACTGTTCTCTCCTGCAGAGGACCGCCCTCTCTCAGGCCTGGCTGCTGCCCTCGCTGGAGCCAAGCTGCGCAAAGTGCCAAGGGTGAGCGCTTGATTTGTTAATGGACCAATGGAAAGCTCGACTACCACGTCTTCATAAGTGAACCATTTATGATACAGTGTATAAGTATTAGGAAGGCAACCGGTTGCATATGCATGCACTTCAGTCACCCCCGATCATCATACACGATCTTACAGTCACTAAAACATTATCCAAACGCACCATGTTCACACATGATCTCTCTCTCTCTCACTCTCACACTCACACACACACACACACACCATCTGTCACATCTCATTAGAGCTCACAGGAGGACTTCATGTAATGCTCACTGTCTGCCAATGACTACATGGCTACTTGTGTTTTGAGTAAAATATGTATTGTACTTCTTTAAAAAACATAGCTTTTCTGATATAAAATGAGTATTAAAAACATCAATCCTTTTTCATTTATTCTATTTATTTCCCAAACACTGTAAATACCTTCTCTGTTTATGAAGAACACAAATGTGTTTTTGCTTGTGGCCCTTCAGAGTGATGATGCAGGGGCAGCTCTGGCAGCAGCCATGATGGGGGCCACAGGGGCTAAATCGGAGACAAGAGGTAACGGGCCACTTCCTGGAGGAGGGGGGCTTATGGAGGAGATGAGCGCCCTATTGGCCAGGAGGTACACTCGCATGATATTATCATCCAAAACCAGATTTGTCTGTTCACCATGCAAATTTTGTCCTAATTTCTGAAAATAGGCAATTAGTGGTTTTAAATTTGGAAATGAGACTTGATATCGATCAGTGTTTCAGCCCTCCTCACTGTGCCTGGGCTTTTTACATCTTACAGGAGAAGAATTGCGGAGAAGGGCTCGTCACCTGAACCTGACCAGAGATCAGTAAGTAACACCAGAACCATAGTCTAAGCCCCTGTCATGCTATGGTCCTGTGTTTGACTTTGTTTCAAAATGTCATTATTGCTATCGGCAGACGATCGCTCCTCAGTGTGCTTTGGTTATTTCAGAGTATTTTCACTCCTTGATCACTGAGTACTTTCGATATGAAAGTCTGTATGTCTTTAGAGGATGTCATGTTCTACATACCTGTCTGTTACTATTGACATATGTCATAAGGTTTCTAGTACTTACCTAAATTGCAGAAAATAAAGTGTTTTGAGTTGTGGATATATTAATAAAGATATAAACCAATCACTATTTAAATAGCACTTGACATGGTTGAATTCTAGCTGAACATTGAACATTTTCCATACTATTTTCTATTCCTAGAGTATTATATTAATTACTTATACATGATTCTATGGAGAAAATCTAGCCTTTTAGGGTTTTTTTATGTTTGTTTGATTTAGTTTCCTGTTTTGTTTTTTTGTTTTTTTTGGGGGGGGGTTGTTGTTTTTTTAAGCTTTGGTCATGGTCCTGCCAGGCTTAATAAGGGCAGTGGAAGTAGGGAGGCCAATATGAATGTTTTGCGCACAGGTATTTAAAGGCATTTAAGAGTCAACTTCTTGCTTATAATTACAAATCATCTAGTGCTTTCTACCTGCATATAGCAACAGCCACGTTCTAGCTTTACAAACTTGTGCCTCTAGATATGTGGTCAGTTTTTAAGGGAGCGTTTTTGGGGGGTTTTTTGGTCAGTTGACAACATTTAATTTCTGCACTCTGTTATTTTGTCTTGATCGCAAAGGTTTTTGGTTTAATATAAAATGAATAATTCAATTCAGTTTTATTTATACAGCACCAAATCACAACAGTTGCCTCAATGCGCTTTATATTGTAAGGTAGATCCTACAATAATACACAGAGAGAAAAACCCAACAATCATGTGACCCCCTATGAGCAAGCACTTTGGCACGGTACTTCTGTTTGACCCACAGCCTGGGCGTGTGCATCAACTCGTTGGGGAAGCAGGCGAAACCCGTGGGGACATAGACTGGTATCCTGGAGTTGTGAATCAGCATTAGATTTTACTAAACAAGTCATTCTGAATATTTCAAAATTAGGTTTTTAAATGACAAAGTTGGGTGGCACAGAGCTGTTGAAGACTGTTAACAACAAACACCTTTCAACCAATAAGATGTTGCTGATGTGCTTTATGGGAATTTGGCATTTGTTCTCACTTACTTTGCATGTGGAGCATCAAGACCTTGGCCAAAGTTTTCCTTGTAGAACCTCATGGAGGGGATAATGCAGCCAGAGGTCCAATAGATCATGACGTTTGTCAGCAGGTCATCTAGAGAGAACTTCCTGCAACACATGACCCCACTGATATAAGACTACTGACAACTGAAAAACTAAGGAAACAAGCCTATTTCAGAATAGACAGCACTGCTAATACGCATGCTACTACTCAAGTTCACAACTTCTTATAACCTTCAATCCAATTTTATTTATACAGCACCAAATCACAACACCAGTCGCCTCAAGGTGCTTTATTTTGTAAGGTAGACCCTACAATAATACATACAGAGAAAACGCCAAAAATCAGATGACCCCCCTATGAGCAAGCACTTTGGCAACAGTGGGAAGGAAAAGCTCCCTTTTAACAGGAAGAAAACTCCAGCACAACCAGGCTCAGGTGAGGGGCAGCCATCTGCTGCGATTGGTTGGGGTGAAAGAAGGAAGACAGGATAAAATTCTGAGTTTCTGTGTTGGTGTTACAGATTAAATTTGTTTAAAAGATGTCTGTGATTCTGTGTAGACACTCCATCACAAGACCTGTTCTTGATCCTTATTGTGACTCATTAAACCTTGTTTCTGTGTGCCCAATAGGAGGAGGGTGAGATAAATACGACCCCTAAAGTGTCAGCTTGTAGCACACCAGGTGAGTGTTAAATGAAGACAACAGCATTAGCAGTTAACGAGCATCTTCCTGAAACTGGTGACAAGGTTTACAGCTAGCTTTAATCTAGTTAGGTTATAGGGATACTGATCTTAATGTCGGTTCATGTTTGGTTTCAGTATTTCTTATATTTTGTTTTCTGTTTTCCAGACATGCCCAGGAAGCCATGGGAAAGAACAAACACCATGAATGGTAGCAAATCTCCAGTTATTGGAAGGTACAGTGCCTTCCTGCATCTCCATTTGAAATGTTTGTTTATTACAAGTACATTCATGTTCTAAATTAAATTTTTGTTTATTAAGTTCACCCAGGATATGAATGCCGATCATTTCCTAACTGAATGGCAGTGTGACACAGCTAAACATGATTTCCTAGCCTCTGAAACTATACAAGGATATATTGAAGCATAAGCATCAACTAGCTTTAGCATGATGCATTGCTGGGGCCGTTTAGTGCTGGCTAACACCACTAAAGCTTATCCTGGCCTTTATGTGCAGATTCATAAGACCACCAGCGTGTGTGTGAGAATGAACGGGTGAGAATGTAATGGCATCCTTACCACATATTTTCATATACAGTAGTGACCCAAATAATAAAAATGGTGTACATCCATAACCAGATGAAGGTGTGTGGTGGATGAATTAGTCAACCTTAACCATGCAAGACCATATTTTATGTATCAAAAAATATACTTCATCTGTGTTAGCAGGCATGCTAGCATTAACTAATATTAGCCTGAACAACAACAGTTATGAATCAGATTAGATACAAAAAAGGATCAAACTCAGAACTTTTCACCCAAAGGCGGTTCCACATGTTTCTGGGTTTTCTGTTTTTTTGGTTTTTGTTGTTGTTTTTTTGTTGTTGTTGTTTTGTTTTTTAAATATACTTTATCACTGAATTATAGTACATTTTAATTTCCTTTACACAGAAATGAGAAGCTGTTTCAGACTTTTTCCACAACAGCAGAAAGTAATTGAAATAAGTGACATCACCACACATGTAACAAATAAGATATCATCTATATAGTATAAACAGTTTGGGGGCCGAGTATTGAACCTTGTGGAACTCCGCAAGAAACTTTAAGTAAATATAACTTATATCAGGGTTTTACCAGGTATTTTCTTACATCTACACAACCATTTATTAACAGAAGCCTTCCCATTAGGCTGGCGTTTTGCAATACATATATAGGTTTTACACTGTAATTTGTAAAGTCAGTGTTTCTGCTGCTCACACAGACGAGAGTCTCCGTGGAGAAATCCCATGGGAGCAGATTCCTCCAACAGGTAGAGCGAAAAGCCCTGAAAAGTTTGAGAGAACCTTTTTTCTTCAAATCAAACTTCCTTTAAAGTTGAGGTTTGCTGTGACGATTTGGTTGGAGAGGAGTTCTTTCGAAGTGCTTGGATGTTTGGACTGAATCGTGTGCCGTCTTTGTGTTCTTTACTACATTTATCAGTCTTGTAGGGGGCCGGGACTGCTTGTCTGTTGTTTGATACGTGCCATTTGGTCCAATTTGTGTGTTCTAAATCAGTGTGCGTCTGGATAATGGGTTTCTAATATAATCTAGTCATTGTGTTTGCATGCTGTGTGCCCGCTGCACTCAGAACTTAATTTATTTTAAATGGGGAAATCCATATGTGTCCGTCACATACTGTACACCCACCCTATCATACAGACCAACACAAAAATGTGTCCACCCAGTGTAGAGTAGACTTGGCAGAGTATTATCTTTGAAGAGCCAGAACAGTTCCAGCAGGCTCTGACAGATAAGAGTGTGTGTGTGTGTGTGTGTGTGTGTGTGTGTGTGTGTGTGTGTGTGTGTGTGTGTGTGTGTGTGTGTGTGTGTGTGTGTGTGTGTGTGTTGTGTGTGTTTGTGTGTGTGTGTGTGTGTGTGTGTGTGTGTACGTACAAAACAGAGAAGACCAGATGGTGTTTTTGATTCCAGCTTAATAAATTGACTTTCATATGCAGCCACAGAGTAGCTGAGCTGAGCAGATTGTCACTTGTCAGACCCTGTAGTGTTGCACGGAGCTTTTTGTTGATCTGACCATAAAAACGTTGACTTTTACTGTTATGGTAAATGGACTGGTTCTTATATATCGCTTTTCTACTCTGAGCAGTCAAAGCGCTTTATACAACTCGTTCATTCACCCATTCACACAAACACTTTTTCTAAACTGTTAAGTGCTCCCTATATAACATTCATACACATTCACATCCCGATGTGAATGTGTATCTGTAGCTCAGGTAGTGGTGTGTATTACCTGAGCTACAGCCAGGGGTAGCTACTTTTTATATATTTTTTTTATATTTTGTATTACTGTGTGATGGGCAGCATTTGGGCAGGTAAATCACAATATACACATACACCAAATCATCTGCAAAACTCTAATTTGTTTGCTTTAATATTTTTTTAATTATTGTGTAAATGTTGTATAATGTGTGCGCACTGATTTATCTTCCTCAGTCTGTTTCTTACCTTCACCATTTCTTTTGTTCTGAGACCAGCATGAAAAGAAACACAAACACACCACAATCTCAGTTTCCGAATTTTTCCCAGTCCCATAGCTACCTAATGACCTGCTGTTTAGGTCACTTCCTTTTCCTTCATTCCTGTCACGTGTCCTATCTTGAAAGTAACTGGCTGCTCTGAATGTTTTTTGTCCCTCACATGGTGTATGGGGCAATACCAGCCTTCTCTTAATTACTGGTATCCTCCTCCTTCCTTTAAGTGTGTGTGTGTGGGGGGGGGGGTCCAGGGAAGTTGTGCCACACCTCAGGTTTCCTCCTTAAAAAGACAGGGGTAGTAAAGTGTATTTGCACTGTTACGAATGTGGTCTGATCTCTGTCTAGACAAACAGAGGTTGCTTTATTTTGTAACGGACACATTCAATATTTCCAGAGCTGTGGGGAAAGTAAGGGAATGTCTTCTGGAAGCAATGACCTTTTTATAAGTTTTTCAGTTCTCCACAGTGAATTTTATACTATTATTCTTTCCAGAGAAGCTTCAGCTCAACCACATTCTTGGGATATCTGGTATGAGTGACTATGTCACGCCCTTAACTCTCCTAGACATCAGCTGACAGAGGAACATGTGAGAAGACAAATATCCAGTGCACCCAGTATTTAACCTGCCAGCTTCTTAATACTGAGTCTGTGTCATATCAGAACGTGCTAGTGAATTAATAAGGAATTTTATATTTTGGTGTATTCACAGTATGGATATTAAACTATCCATACTGCATAGTCTAATATCCAGTTTCCATATAATTATAGTATATTTCATGAACTGGACCTGCCCCCTCTTTATTTCAGTTTGATAGGTGGCTGAGAACTGTGTGTTTGCTTTTCTGTGTATTCCCTTGCATGTCTCTGTGTACAGTAATGTTTGTGCATGCATCGACCAGGATTTGGCTGCTAATTGTGTTTATGTGCATTTTATATCGGACTAACACAAAAGAGAAAATGCTCAGTGTGCAGTTCAGCATACTAATAAATCTCCTGCCTGTGGTGACAGACACGTTTGATTGCAGAGTTTATTGTCATGTAAATGATGTCAAATATTACATCGGATTTGTTTTTATTTGTTATCCTCTCAACTATTTATGGTTCCTCCTCTATAAAATAGATTCAAATACAGTTTGAGACATATTTATTCGACTGCTGTTTTCTCTCATGGTGTAATTTACTCAAGTTGCTTTACAAGCATCTAAACAAGAGTCAGCATTCTTGTAGGAGGGCAGATTGTGTGGTTTAAATGATTTTACTGAGCTCAAAACCTCCATTTATTACTCATAAATCACATAATAGCTGGTGTTGCTTTATGATCTTACAAGTAGCTTTTATGCTCTTTGTCTTTTCTCATAGACCTAAATCCACTCCTACACCTACTGCATCCTTAAGTGCCAATGGTGTGCCAACAGAAGCTGTTGACTATGATAGATTGAAACAGGTAAGTAGACATTTTTAGACACAGATTTTATTTCTGCATATTCCCTTTGATACTGTGATTGTGGTTTTCAGGTTGTTGCAGTATATGGTGTCTGAATTTCTTTTCCTTGTGGCCCAAAAGTCGCCCGACAATATCAATATTGCTCCACAAAGTTTTCATATTAAAGCAAGTCAGCTGTATAGTGCTGTTGTTGTAAAATAAAAGTAAAATGGAACTTGGAACTGGAGCATCTATTGACCTTGGTCTGTGTTTCTTCATTATTTATGCAGCCCTGTTAGTAAATGGTAAATGGCCTGTATTTATATAGCGCTTTACTAGTCCCTAAGGACCCCAAAGCGCTTTACATATCCAGTCATCCACCCATTCACACACAGTAGTTCAGTGCGTGGGTGTGTGCAGTCCTGTTAGAAGGCAGCTCCTCCCTCTGACCTTGTGAATGAGCCTCTTAGATAAGTAAAGAGTCTGTCAGAGTTCTGCATATCTGTCACTACAACTGGCCACAGACGTGACAGCCCACAGACCCACTCACCACACTCACTGTCTCACTGAGTAAGCCTGGGTTAAGTTATAGGTCAAACTTGAGGCTCATCATTTTAGTACGCCTTTCATACTGTGTATGTCACTTTGTTTGCATCTTGGTGTCATTAAGTAAGTCTTTAGCTCTAATCCCACAGAGATTACCTAAGAAGGGATTAGCTACTATGTAAAGTTGAGATGGGAGCTTCTTTTACCAGTTGCCAGGATGCGTACCCACAGTAAAAGAAGGAAAAGGGGGGGGGGCAAAATTAACAATTGCACAAGGCGAGCTCGTCTCTGAGGTCTAATGACATTTATCATGTTTATATGAAAATATGACTTTTTTTTTTTTTTTTTAAGGACATTCTTGATGAGATGAGGAAGGAGCTGTCAAAACTAAAAGAAGAGCTCATTGATGGTAATTATCACCACTTTAGTCATCCTACAGAAAGACCAGCAAGGCTTTGTAGTGAGTCCATACTAAACACGACAGTGCAGTAATGGTTTCTGGACACTTTGTTTGAAAACTTTTTTTTTTAATTTTGTGAGAGCCAGAAGTGATCATATTTTGACAAGAAGGTCTAACTTGTCCATTAAGCAAGTTAGCAAGCTAGCAAGTTTGGTTAGCAGTGTTTTGCAGTGTACCTAGTGTGATGTAAGGATACAGATATCTGCTTGTTAGTTTTAATTGACTGACAACTAAAATACTATAATTTCATTCACCACGACTGGAGCATCATCTTCTTGGGTGTGTACCTTCAAAGGAGCTCATACTTTTTAAATTCTATTGGCATTGCTATAATAGGTGCCAACAGCACAAACACGCTGGAGAAGTGTGGTGGTTCATAACTCTTTGCTCCAATTCTTTCACTTCTACAAAGATTCACCGAAAGTTGGGTATTTTAACATGGGGAAACTGACTCACCCTTGAAGCCAGCCTTGAGTGAGTGTTACAGGAACTGCAGTTGTTGGCTTAGTTTATTGTGATCCACGTTAAGAATGTGGCCGTGTCTTTGTTCTGTGTTTCAGCAATCCGGGAGGAGCTGGGTAGGTCCAGCACAGCATAGAGGAATCTGACTTCCCCGTTCAGAAACACCCACAAGAACCGACAGACAACCCCGGTCAACTTAAAGACATGACAATATAACAATGGAAAACAACAAAAAACGGTGGCGATTACGACAAAAATCATTTTACCACACAGAGAGGACATTATCTGGTGCGGAGCAGTGTCAGACAGGCTGGTGGTGGTAGGAGATTTGTAGCCTTTGATAGCTGTGACTCACAGAATCCATTCTGCAAAGCCTCGTATTCCCACTGCCCCATCTCACAACCCCCTCTCTCCCCTCGCCTTCCTGCTGAGGGCATCCTGGAGGACAGAGGAGCGAAAGTCTTTATGCAAAGATGGCTCCTCTGTTTGTCCTCCTATAAGAAGAAAATAAATCCAATAGTGAACTCTTCTGTGATACTGTATTAACCACAAGTTGCTCACTGTCAAAAGTTTTATCAAGAGTGTGCAGAGAGCCGAAGGATGGAAACTTAAAAACTTTTCTCCCATAATGCCATAGGGGTAGCGTGTGTTTGCGTATGAAGGACTGACAGTCTCTGGTGGAGGCTAACACTGCAGGACACTGTAAAGCTCGTCTTCCTCAAATACTATTTTAACCTGAACATATACAAAAGAGAGAAAAAGTTAGACAAAACAAATAAAATCTCTCCACCAACGTCTGTTTCAGTGTGGATCTACGGCCATATGAGTAGCTCAATAATCCAGTCTTTATACAGGATGCTCCCTGGCCCGTCTCTTCATCTGTGAAGTCATCATCAGAGGCACCGTTTCCCTCCCAAAGCGAGCGTTTTTGTCACTTTTCTGTCGTCGAGCGGCAGGTGGATGAGACACTGAGGGGTGTAGCTGCCTGTAGCTCTCTACCAAACATTACCTGTTGAACAGAAGTGCTGATTCACCTGCCATGCGCCTCGACCAGACGTATAGATAGGTGTTCCCCTTCCCTTGATTTAACGAGTCTCTATCATCCATCCTTCTCAGTCTGTTGTGGGGTTTTTTTGTTTTAGCATGTTTGTTTTCTTAGTACGGCGAAGGTCACAGGTCTGCCACGAATTTGCATTACCCGTCACAAGTTTTAATACAAGCAATAAGTGTAGCATCTATTTTTACAGCCCTGCTCCTAAACGCCACCAAACATTTCAGTGTTTCCTTTTTTTTCTTTTTTTCTTTTTTTTTTTGCGGGGGGGCCCTTCTGGGCCCCTGTTGGATGTTACTGTGTCACCACCACCTTTCTGTAAAGCTGAAAGCTGATGTGATTGAATAACAGCGCAACACTGTAAGACATCATTTCATGGAATTCATTTCTATATCACAGCACACTCAGAATTTTTCTTCTATAAATCCTAGGATACTGTATCTGTAGCCACATTGGAGGTGAACTTTATTATTAGTTTTGTTTTTTTGTTGGGTTTTTTTGGAGGGGGGATGTTCTGTTTTCATTTTAAAACATTTATAAAATTAAACTTTTTTTCAAAAGGTGCACCGGACAACCCAAAAATCTAAGAGATTGTGTCCATGCAAGGACATGAATGTGCCATTCATTCTTTCACCAGTGCTTACAGTGTCATTTTTTTTTCTTTGCCTTTTTCTCCTGCTGCTGTCAAATCCTTAAAATGACAAACTGTATTTACCCCTATCATGCTATGATATAAGATAGAACTGTCACTTTCAGCATGTCTTTATCTTCAGTGCTTAAAGTACAATCAGTATAAGAGAGAGATGTTTGGAGCTGAGAGACCGATGTCCCAACAAAGCTTCAAGATACAACGCAACAGGTCGAGGCAATGGATGAAAGTCTGTGGTATGGTTCTGTACTCTTGTTGTCTGAATGAGATCCTGAAGAGTGGCCATTTCCAAAACGTAATCGAGTTTCTTGGCTAGCTAACAGCCACAGTGTGCTCTGCAAGAGCCGATTTAAGCATTCAAGAGGGGGTGACGTTTTAACGTGAGCGTCTTTAGTGTATATTGCAAGCATCAGACTGGGATCTTAAAAAGCAGCAGCATACCATCTCCACAGGTCACTCCTAAGCAGCAATCCCACACACATTTCAGGTTTCGTCTCTCTGGACTCCAACTCTCACTTGTGACATTTTGTGTTGCCCACACAATCTTGGATGCAGTGTGTCGCTTGCGATGTTTAGATTACATTCTAAAAACGCCTGAGCAAACAAGCTTGTTCAGCCTGTAATTTAACATCAAATGGAAAAGCTGATAATTGCACTGAGTAATCACTATTTCACTTAAAAGTTAGTGACAGCTAATGCTAGCTCCCTTGGGCACCTGTCACGTTTCCAACATTCTCACCCGTTTTTCACTTTGAATAGGGGTAACATCAAGTGCTCATCTGGCTTGGTGATTCTTTGCTAGTTGTGTGCTGTTGAGAGGGCTGCTAAAACTTGTTAGCACCTGCCAGCCATATTGTGCACATGTTTCAGTGCTGCTGGTAGCAAGCAAAATGATGTAAATATCCCAAAAGAGCAGCAGACCAGTGAAACATGCCGTTTGGGATCAAAGTGAAGCAATTACTCATTTCTGTAGAAGTTGGTGACAGGCGGCTAACTTGGATAACGCTAACTGCTAACTCCATTAGCCTCAGTGAGGCAGTATTCGTATGTGGGAGATTGCTTTAGTGCCAGACAGTGGCTTTTCGTGTCCTTTGGGGACATATCTTTGCAGACACTACCGTCATATTGACAACAACTATTCACTCACAAGGCAGGCTAATGCAGCTTAACTAAACTAAACTAGCTATCTGTGTGCAACTTTGCAAATATGCAGATTGCACAAGCAACTCTTTTTTTTTTTTCATGACGGTTTCATTGCCTCGCAGGTGATGTCATTAGCTTGCACTTGAAAAATTAAGTGCGAGTGAAGCCTCAAGTTTCGATGAACCAGCTACCTGCATGATGAATCTAAAGGGCACACTTCCAACATTGTAATGCCAGATTTGCTTTGTAGTGCAGGCTGAGATGACCATGAGGACCTGATTATGAATTCATGAGGAAGAATTTTGAAATTCCTACCAGACCAAAGAAACCATTACACCATCGTCAAAATTCTAATGGCACGTCTATAAACTGTGTGTAAAATATGTGGCCATGCCCCCTTTAGAAGAATCTTTGGGTTAACTGGCTAATTTGTTGTTGTTGTTGTTGTTATCACCACAGTTTTTATACTACTTAACCCAACAGATGGCTTGATAATCATGTCTTTCAGTGGATGTTGGCGCCTCTGGTGGATCTCATTCTACACAACTGTTTAAGGGCTTTGATGTTATAGCTTTGCTACATAAGATCAGGCATCACACATTGAGAAATGTCATTTTCCCTTTCAGTTACAGTCATCAGTTTGAGATTGGTTCAAAAATACTGTGAACACAATATGAAAGCAGTTTCAGTTCATGTGTGGATATGGTGTGATCCATGGAGGAATGTTTTTTTTTTCGAGACAGTTTAGGTTTATCCACTTAAAAAAAGGCTGTTTCATCAACTCATTCACCAAGAGTGTTTACACAGCATCGATTGCACTTTAAGACAAAAAAAACCCACACACACAAACAAAGCAATCCACCGTGACAGCTGTCGCTCAGAGCCTCTGTCACCAACATTGTGGCTCTCTCACCAAAGGATTTTAACCCTGACGGTCTCCTGCTAAACATGATCAATCTCAGAAAAGTCGCCTTTTTATTTTAGGTTTTAATGATTTTGTCAAAAGCAGAAACATGTCACAATGGAAGTGGAAATGTTTTGATCAAGAAAAGTTTCTCTTTTGTGGAGCTGTGTAGTTTGTGCCTTGTTCCGAAGTTGCATTTAATATGTCAAAGATTTAAAGTTGACTAGTAATAATATCTATGGGACTGTCATTATGATCATCTGCAGTTTCTTTCTTTGTTCATCATGGTCAAGTTGATTTTAAAGGGAGAGTTTCATTCACTTTGGTACTGTTCCCTCCAAGAAAACAAAGTGTTTTTCTGTTTGCTTTCAACATAACTCATGACTTCTTTCCATGCAGCTGTGAAGCTGCTTCTCTTACAGCTCAGAAGTACAATCAAACTTTGATACACAAGGCCTACGAGGGTTCAAAGATGATCTTCAGTGTGTGTGATTTCGTTTTTTGTAAACCTGAAGCCCTGTTTGGAAGTCCCAATGAGTCTGGCTGCAGTGTTCTGTGTTCCCTCATGCCATTTTAAATGTCACAGAAACTCTTTGTGTTCAGCAGCTTAGCTTTCTTTACATGCTTGGAAATCTCTGATTGGGGGGGGGAAAAAAACGTTTTGGTTTTGGCTGTGAGGTCTGCTCAATGATGGAAATACTTTGTAAATCCAGCTGAGGGAATGGAAGTTGCGAATTTGCGGGAATAATGGCAGAGATGACTGGCTGAAGTAAGTTTTGTAGAGGGGTTTCCAGACGTATTCTTTTATCACCTGAAATGTACCATACTGTTCTCATGTCTAGTCTTTTCTTACATGCTAACATATTGTTTTTGTTTGAGCAAATGAAATAAAAATTGCAATACAATACTAGAACTGATTTCTTTTTAAATGATCACTGATTTCAACTATTTTTCACTGTTTAATGGGAACATTTTGTGGGGAGACCCAAACAGACGTGGGGAAGATCTGTCGAGAGCGAAGCAAAGGCCGTCGGAATGACGTGGACCCAGCTAAAGAGAGCAGCCCAGAACAGAGTCCGTTGGCGTGGTGTTGTTGCGGACCTATGCTCCCCCAGGAGTCAACAGGAAAATTTAATGGGAACATTTAAGTTAATGCTCTAATGGGTCAACTTCAAGTCAAGATTATACTGACCATTATGGAAAAGTAAACTGCTGGTGATGCCAGAGACTCCCTGGAAAATTATCATTATAACCCATGATACCAGGACTTTTTGCATGGAGGAACAGGGTGAGCACTGCCACAGCTACAAAATGACCTTCAGCAGGACACTGTGAATGTGTCCCACCAAACAATCCGAAACAGACTTAATGATGGTGGCCTGAGTCAGCACACCTTTGAAAGCAGTTTTTATCAGTTTGGCCTGGTGATCCTGTACATGCACTGAAATAAAAGTTACTTGAAATAAATTTTAGAATAATCGCCCCAATAAATGCTTCTTATTCTACAAAGACTTTGGCTGAAACGGCTCGTTTCACGGCTCGAGAGGAATAAAGTACCAAAGCCCAGTTTATGATAAAACAACAACTTATACAAAACTAATCTTAATGCAGTTCAACAATAGAAACATGGAAGTGGAAATGAGCAGATTCCAACTACTTGGTCAGAAATCAGCATTCGATTTCCTTTTTCTCCTCCCAGATCTGTTGCTGCACACCATTTCACAGCCTGTCAAGTGACATAATGTCTGACTGCTCCACGTCGTCTCACGTGCACACTGAGCAGATGTGAACAGGAAGAGGGGAAACTAACTAAAAATGAGCTCACTTATCGAAAGCTTGCATGTTGTGCACATTTTCTTCCTTGTAGTGCCACTGACATCTGTGAGCTCAGTCAAACTGCTGCTGCGTGAAAGGATGGCCACAGGAATCCCAAGACTAAAAGTTTAACCTAACACTGCAAGTTGTGGTTTTTCTTGTGTCAAAGGAAAATGTTTACAATGAAACTCTTTGCAAGATGTGGCTCCTTCACATCTTTTTAAAGTTTTTTTTTTAAGTGCAAAATCACGTTTTTGGGATTGTTGTTAGTTACTTGCAGAGGTGTCTAGTTATCAGAGTTCATCTTGATTATGGTATTTCTGAGTTTAATAACTTCACACATTTTCTGGGTTACACCAAGAGTCCTGGTTTAGAGAATAAACCTCTTTTATTGGTTCCTGTGCAGCTTCACCTTACAACATACACAGCCATGCTTCCTGTGGGTGGAGCATACAGCGCTCTGTGCCAGTGCATCTGCAGTTCATTTGAGGTTTGCTTTGACTTGCAGCCACAGAGGAGCCGTGCTGTGGCGAAAGCTGCACTAAGACAGGAAAACACCCCGAGCTGCAGAGATGAGGACGAGGAAGATGAGACAACACTGATGCTGCGACTCGATTGGCGAGTTTGAATTTTCGAAATCAAGCCCTCTTCCTCTTATTGTCTTAATGAGCTTTAGCTTTGAGCGGCAGGTGCCAATAATGTGTCAACTGTCAGGTTCCCCCATGCAAATAAGTCATGCTCTTCTGCTGTCAGACGCCCATTTCTGCTTCACTTCACTACCATTGTTTGGGGCAATCTTCCTCAGCACACATACATACAACGATGAAATACTCAGTCCAGCATACTGTAATCAACTCTCTTTAATCTGGCAGATATTCAAACAGGTGCAAGAAATTCACTTTAAACTGGACAGGCTGTTTTAAAAATAAAAATAAAAATAGTTTTCACTCCAGTTTTGTCAGCTGGTTCAGTAAGACCTATCAGGGGGTTTATTCCCCATGTTAAAATAGGTCTTTAGTGAGTGACTACACATTTGATAAGCATGACTTTTTGCTTATGCTTGACTTAAATAAACCTTACTTTTTATAATCCTAGTCATTCTCCATTGGAGACAGGCCCAAACCTTTTTGAAGGGGTACTAAAATTAATTGGTATCTTTATGATGAGAAAGCAAATGCATTATGACTCACAGATTTAAGGATTTTCTGTTGCTGCATTATTACAGCAAAAAAGAAGTTGATGACAGAAAACTTAACTGCTAAATAGTGATGCAATTTTCGTGTAAATTTAAATGCAGAGATTTTGTATTGCATCGTGATAAACTCTGCATTAAAATCAATGTCACACAGGTGACTTATGTGAAAGCATGTGTCTCCAGAGCCTTTGCCTGGACAAGGCAAAGTGAGAATTAAGTGAATGATTCCCATTCACTTTTGCCGCATTTTTTTTGTTACTGCAATCAGTAAAAAGTAGGCTGTACTAACAAAAATAGCAACTGTTAAGTATTAACAGTTTGAAAAATACGTTTATATTAATACTATTTTATTCCAACATTGTTAGTCTCATAATAATAATTTTCATTATGCCCTCCAGAATGTTCGCGTTTATGAAGCAAAAAGTATTCATATTATACATAAGCAGTTTAATTTGGGATATTATTGTCAATACCGCTGTTTTGTCTGACAGTAATTTAATACCGGTAAACAAAGTAGTCGTGACTCTCTCAAAGCCAATCCCAACACAGTTAAAATCCACCGACAGCCAATGAAATCGCAGAGTCGTTTAAAATGAACGCTGGACTAACCAATCGAAAGCCTTCGCGCCTTCGAAGTCACTGGTGGGTTTTGCCCGAAGAGGGAGGGAGAACGAGTTCTACGTCAAACGTTAGCAAAGTTCGTTTTTAAAAATATTAAGCTTAATTTATTAATTCGTCGTCGTGATCGGGATATTTTAGCAGTTGTACTTACTGGAATTATTCGCACAATATTAAGGTAAGTCCGTCTTCCAATTGCATGTGTTGGCAATGCAAAGAGCAACTACTCTTTACGTTTCTCTTTGTTGGGAAACTGGGGCTTAGCCGAAGCTAACTCAAGCTGGTCGTATAACGGCGTTGTAGGCTTTGGCTAATTTCTGAAAGGTTATCTTGTTTCTGTTGGTTGAAGTGGAAAAAAAACCACAACAAAAAAAAATAGTTGGACGAATTTGTTTTAACGTGTGGTGGTAACCATGCTCTTCGATAGGTCAAGTTTTTATTAGAGTTTGTCGGTCTTGGTAAGCGGAACTGCGAGTTTAACTACCCACCTCTGTTCGGGCTATTCGCCAACAAGCAGATTAACGATAGACAGTTCAGAAATTAGACGGTGCCCGGTAGTGAAACAGTCTTTAAGCGATCGTAACGTGAACGTTTAACTCAGTCGTAATTTCAGCTGCCTGTCTGTCCTTTTTTTAAAGGGTTTGCTGCGTTATCATCAGCGAGTTTAGCTTTGCCGAACTTATTCATACGTGCCCACGTATTGTTTCTATGGCGGGTGGTTTTGCTTTCTTCGCCAGAAGTATTTGAATGCATGACGTTTTCCCTCCTTTCCTTTTCTGTCGCTTGTAGTTGCATCCGCGCTATCTCGAAGCTAACTAAGCTAGCGTATTTCGTTAAAGAAACAGCTCCTGCACTTTGGCAATAACCATTATGTTATCTGAGGGTACGTGAAAAGTGTCGCTTACCCCACTAGCCCAAGCGCAAAAACTGCAGTTAAAGCAATCAGTAAAAGCGGCGCTTTGACAAGTAATTCCAGTTATTCACATGTATGTCATATCTCACATACACATATGTATATAATTGTATAATGCATATATTTGAAGGCAGTGAAAAAGGAGGAAAATGCATACAAAAGTGTGCCTTTTTTAACATTTGAAGCCACATGAGTGCGGTCGTGATACGGTTTATGCTCAGTATTCTTTTTACCAGTATAAGACTGTGTGAACTACAGTATGTCTAAACACTGCAGTAACCTGACATTTGATGGCGCCTTAATAGTCCGAGTAAAGTTTGTGTTTCTGTGGGTTATCTGCCTTTCCTTTTATGTGGACCAAAATAAAACAGTTCGGTTTGTCCTACTCCAGAGATGCTCGAGTACATACCCTTTGTCCTTTTAGATGACTTATCTAACTTTTTGGTGTGAGTTTACAACTTGACTCGCATGTTACAAATGGACTGCGTACCAGGTGGGGCAGTTTTCAGCACAAAGCTGAGGGGTGGATAGGGTGGCTGCCTGTCTTCTATTTTAAACCCCACCCACGTTATAGCCATATCCTTTCATCAGCCCAAAGGGGGGATCTGAGGGGGAACTCTCCTCAGTCAGGAGACACCACATATCCCATATGGAAGCCTGCACGCGAGCCAGGAAAGCAGCATTGGGACATACTTTGGGTGTGTCGTGTTGTGAGATGGGGTGTTTGCGCAGATGCTGTGGGTTTTTGTGTTTTTCGAAGATTCGATCAGTTAGCAGTGGAAGTTTATCACTTTTCCTGCTTTTTTTGTTATAACGGTGGTGATTGGACAGTTGGAGCCTTTGTAAGTTAGTGGAGTTACTGTGTGACTATAAAGGCAAACAAGAGACTGATTGTCAAGGTGAAGAAAAAGTCTTTCATTGATGGGTACACCATGCTTAATTTCTGACGTTTGATGGTAGAAAGTACAACTTTCAAAGAGTTATTATATTTTATATTTTAATTTTCGTTTCACTATAGTTTGACTTTTTGCTTTCAGATAGATTCCTGGTGAATGTACTTGTTTCAATTTAATTTGTAATATTTACAAAGGTTTTAATTCAGTTTTTATTAGTTTCACTTTTTAGTTTCAGATTGTAAGATTAGGACATTCAGAACAATACAATAATATACCAATAGAGATAGTCACATCTCAGTAAATGTTGTGTAAAGTTAAAAAAACAAAACAAAAATAACTCAAAGCACATCCTTCCTGCCATTTACTGGAGTATGGAATTTTAATTAGCATTACTACTGACATTGGCTGTCATTGGGGTATGTGGTTTGAAACTATTATCAGAACAGATCGGGATTAAAGCTTGAAACCAAAACTCTTCTTGAATGCTGTAAAGTCTGGCATTCCTTTCATGTGGTTATTAAAGTACTGATCCATTATTCTGTTGTAGAAATATATGCAATTTTCAACATTTCAGTACTAGACTGTTATCAAGAAAATGGTTAATGAGAAAGGGAAACCAGGATTTAAAAAAATGTTTTTATTTATTTATTTGCAATTGTAAAATATCTTGACTTCTACCAAAGGAAAATAAACAATTTAAAACACTTTATTTCCATAAAATAAGTATTTAAATATTAGAAGTCACAGAGTTAAACTGCATTCTGATAATTTGCTGCCCAAAGAGGTTATCAGCAAAGGTAAACCAGTGAATATGTGTTCAGGTCAAAAGTAGTAAATTCACTCATGAATACAGAGACAGTTTGTGTGAAATTCCTTGCCTGTTGCTGTGACTTGAATGGAGCGACCCACTGGGACAGACAGCTCTGGATAAACCTCGCAGGGACAGACTTGTCAGCAATTCTGCAGTAGTGTGTTGGTTTTCTAGACACTGAGCCTCCCAGGTCACTGATGTTCTATAATGCTGACTTTGCCTGGCTTTGTGTCCAGTGATGAGCACTCCTGTTGGGTTTTGCCGTTCCGTAGTGTTAGTTCAATTGTGAAATTGTAAACTGAATATCTATAACATCACTGGGTGGATAAATGGAGACACAGGAAACAAGCTTGACAGTTGGTTGCCAAAAATGGCATTTAACCTCTGTATATGAGGATGACCTCAGAAAGCTGCTGCACCACCCCTGTTCTGCCAAGATGGTTTCACACATCTGCCAAAAAAACAAAAACCCAGAAGTGATGACAGGGTGGACTTTTTGTATTACTGTGTAGTTTGGGGTTTTAGCCTTAACTGTGGATGTAGCCTTGTATTACGATGTCCTCAGGTTAGAAATGTTTTGCCTTAATTCTTTTGAAGCATAAATCTTTGGTGAGTGGCCACAGCAGGCTAGTTATCTCTGGTCAGGTTGTAGTTATAGTGGAATTTTATTTTTCCTCCTCTAATTAAGTTCCTGTTTAGATTCACGGCTCTAAGCAACATCTTCTCCATGTTTGGTTTAAATATTTTCTCAATATAATTGCACTGTGCACTTGCATTATGAATTATATTTCCTGCAGTACTTTGCAAACATAGGCTGTATATAAAAGATGGTCTAAGCTTCTGGTGCAGAAAAGCCTCAAACCCGGATTCTTTGTAAATCCAGCAGGGGGCAGTGACTCTGTCTGGGGGAGAGAAATCAGTGGTTTTACGGAAGTTTGCTGTCACTTCAGTAGACACTTTAGTGCTGGGTTTCTGGTTTTAAATGCTAGTTACAGGATTAATTGAATATATCACCCTGTTAATGTTGTAAATTCTGGTCTAGTGTCCAGAAAGATGATAAAGCCGGTTACACTCTGTGTCCACAGGCTGTGTTTTTTTTCACTGGAAGAGCTCGTATTCTCATTTTAAGAGCACATTTTAAGAACTTTTTATTACTAGGTTATAAAATCCACATTCTTCATTGTTTTTCCTCCATGTGACAGTGTTATCATTATTCTCACATCTGCTTGATATTTGGTCATGAGAAATATAAGACTGATAAGTGCAGTGATGATCTAAAAGTCTTCTTTTCAGCTGAGTAACTAGTAATAATGCTGTATTTTAGGTGTGTTTTTCTGCTGAGCATTTAGTGTGGTTTATAGAATTTGGATAAAAAATAAACACAGAGGGAGCAAAAAACACTGCATGTAGATGGATGACAGGTTCCTTACCGGTCATGTACAATGTCTGATTTGTTGGTTGGATCCAGCAAATCGGCTTGTCATTCTTGGCTTCAGAATGTTAAGATGGTTATGTGAAAATATTCTGCTTCATAACAGGACCTCACTAACACGATGCTGCTGCTGCTGCTCCATTCTGTGTTTGCAAAGCACATTCTGTGAGAATGTTCAAGTTTTTGAGACCGTTGTCATACTGTGGTGCATCAGAGTAACTTAAGATGACTAACGATATTTAAGATCAGTCACTACAGATGTATTGCCTGGCCACCGTTGCACTTTATCAAAAGTTCAAAGTTACTGCCAAAGCTGTCAAGTAAAAGTGAAAGCACTGAGATGTTGAGATGCTGCTATTGTTGTCTTTCAAGCTTCGTTGTCTTTCATATGCTGTGCTTCAGTGGTACGAAAGGAGACAGAAGGGGCCGCCTGCAGTGACGAGGCCATTTTTTTTTTTTTTTTCTCAAATGATTGAGCCTTACTGTAAATACCAGTGGCAGGTTTAAATTAATTATTATTTAACAAGTTAGTCCTGCTCTGCTTTTCCTGATATCTCCTATCAGTTTGGTCGAGTCTCTTTGCTCCTCTCTCTTGTCCTCTCTGTTTCACTTTCAGCCACTTTCTCCCCTGCTTGTTGTACTTCCTTCTGTACTGAACTCTTGCTCTGTTTTGATTAACTCCTTGTCAGGTCAATGAAGATGCCTACTGTGAAGTACCAGAAAGGGGACACTGTGATGGGCCGCTGGCCCGGCAGCAGCCTGTACTATCAGGTCAAGGTGCTGGGCTTTGATTCCAAAAGCCAGCTCTACACTGTCATCTACAAAGATGGTACAGAGCTGGAGCTCAAGGAGCAAGACATTAAGGTAGGATCAGAGTCACGTGCTCTTGTGAACTGCAGCTGACTCTTCACTCGGTTTCACTGAGTGCTTTATTGTGAATTCTTTTTTTTTTTTCTCAACATTGAAGTCAGATCTGCACATTAACCACTGTGGGTGTAGGTTCAAACCATGAAGCGCTAATGCTTTAAATTAGTTATATTTTTGTTCTAAAGGAAAGAGAAAAGAGAAAACACAGACTGGATTGTTAATCAGTGATGATACTGGTATGCAGTTATTAAGTCATGTAAAAGGGATCACTGTAGCTGTAATGTCTGTAGCATTCTACTAATAGTTAAGTTTTAGAACTGTCGTGGGTATGGTCAGGAATATATTTCAACTGTAAGATGATGCTCTGTGAAAATTCAGCCTCAGTTTTTAATCTTTGCAACATTTTTAAAATGATAAACGTATAGCAGTTCCCTTCCAGTTTTTTTTTCTCCTCCCGATTGTTATTTTCCCTCAGAGCGTCACTGGTTTCCAGACCCGCTCCCGTTCTCGCTCTCGTTCCCGCTCACCAGGCCGCCGTCGCAGCCGTTCACGCTCCCCGGCAAGGACCACACGTCGTTCGTCATCTCGTACAGCGGCAGCCGTCGCTGCAACAGCAATCACAGAGAGTACACCGTCTTCTCGCAGAGATACCAGACTGAAGGATACAGTGGAAGTGAGGCTCAGCCCTGTGGTAAGTGCTTATGCTGCCTTGTCATTGTCTGATTATAGAATATTAGTGATTGTCAAAAACATGATAAGGAGAAGTTGAAGAATGCCAGCAGAAAGCGTATAAATGCAGGTAACTGTTATAATGAAGACATACTACATATAGAGAGTCTCTTCTTTAGTTACCTGACTATATCAGTGTTATATAGTCCCTTCTGTCTGTTCCACCTGTTCGCCTGACTACCATGGGACTCGGAGCCTTTAGTTGTTCTGCCGTGAGACTTTAGAGCACATCCACCAGATTTCTGGACTACAAACTCCCTCTCTCTACTTTTAAATCACATCTTAAAACCCATCTATTCAGAATTGCATACACTTCATCATGCCTCAGTCTTATTCTGTTTTTTTTTACTTTAATTAGCTTTTATAGTTGTTTTTTGTTGTCTTTACCTTTTGTTTTTAATTATTTTGTATTAATGTAAGGTGACCTTGAAGGTCTTGAAAGGTGCCTATAAATAAAATGTATTATTATTATTATTATTATTATTATTATTATTATTATTATTATTATTATTATTATCATCATTATATCAATCATTTCACTGCAATGCCGTTTGCCAATGGGTTGCTTAGACAGACATAGTCTTGTCAAAGTCACCCTTCATAAAACTTGACACCCATCAAACGATGTAATCAGTCAAAAATGTGTCCAGATAATATTTGGAGTTGGAAATTGAAGAATTAAGAAGCAGAAAGCTAAGTACTTCATGAGACGCTTGCAACGATAAAAGTGAACTGTGACTAGATGACAGTCGTCTCCACGTTAAGAGCAGCACTTGTCTACATTGCTTTCAGTTTCAGTTATAGTAATCTTTCATAAGGTCCTGGACCAATGGGTTCATTTTTTTAATTTTAATTTTTTTTGTTGATAGTGGTTGTGTGCTTAATGAAGTTCTGGTATTTCACTTTGCCACATGAGTATATTATTTCACTTGTAGTGATTTATTTATTTATATATTTCTTTTTTGTGGAGAGTGCTACTTAGTGTGCCATAGCATGAGATTGTAATGTGTACTGTGGATTCTCCTTGTACAAAGGATGTGCAAAACTAGATATGTAAACATTGCTGCCATTGCTAATGCCAGACAGATAAACATATTCTTAGTTTATTAATGTACAACACAAGTTACCGGTTCAAAGACATTATAGTGCCCACAGATTTGGCCAAATTATGCACCAGGGTGTGAAATACTAGAATGGAAATTCAGGTGCCACACATTTCAGTTACACTTAAAACATGATTTGGTTAACAAGGAACGTGATGACTGGACTAATGCAAATGTTTGGGTTTTTCCCCTCGTTTAGACAACTGTAGATTTGTTGCCAGGAACATCCCTACCCAAAATACATTTTAAAAAATGTGTGCGGTACAGAAGTTGTCCCATTAACTGTGAAATAGCCCACAGATTTGTGGCAAGATCCAGTCCATTATCAAATGTCCTAATTCATCAGTACCTTGTCCTTGTGGGGAAATTGTGAGTCATTCATTCTGGTGTTTGACCATAACACAATCACAGTCCCTCTGTATGTTCCTCACATTGTTTTTTTTTTTTGTTTTGTTTTTGTCTCTGTCATTTCCATCAATCACCCTCCATTGTTTGCTGAGCAGGAACAGACAAAGGCAGCAGAGAACAGTAGCAACAATAAGCATGAAAAGAAAGAGGAGAATAACACTGCTAGCAAAGTGATTGAGGTGAGTTTTGTTTTGCAATTTAAAAAAACCCCCAAAAAACGTGTCAAAACTTTTATTTAAAAAGGTTCAAGTGTCTCAAAATAATTGGCTCATAGAAGAACATTTGTGCAGACCACTCCAAGTGAAAAGGTTTTAAACAGAACTAAAAGGCTCTGAGGTAAGTTGCAGCTGATGGAATGTCATGATGCATGCACGTCGGGGGCCCATGTATGTTTTCTAACTGAGGGGGCTCCTCTCACAAGACTGTACTTCATTTAACTAGTCACATGTTGCACTAGCATGTGCTGCCTCTTTACTGTGCCTGTTTCTGACAGTCTAAAGTCCTGTGTGCAGTAATCTGTGCTGCATTTAAGTTAAGATATAAAACTTTTTCTTCTTTGACTTTAATGTTTATTTACTGCAGATTTCTGACAGTTTATTTGTTGTTTTTTGGCTGGAAAAAAGATGTTCTTTTCATAGCAGCAAATGGCAATGATCTTTATTGGGCTAAGACACTTAATCTCCTAATTATTTCATTCATGTATTTTGTCAGTGTAGGTAGTAGTGTAGGCTTGTAGGTGTAGGCAGTTTTGTGTTGTGATATTTTGATATTAGTAACTTTGTTTCTTTTTCTATCGATTACCTCTGTATGAGATGCAAATAGTTGGATTGCATTATCCTACTGATTGGCTGAAATTGTTATGCTTTTGAGTTGTATTAATATGAATTGTTGACTTGTGTCCAATTCTAAATAACCCAAAATCTTATTCCAGAAGTCTGAAGCTAAGGTGGAGGCAGAGTCTGAGAAAAACCAAGGCCCTTATAATCTACGCCGTAGGAAGGCTGACGGAGATGCCAAACCAGCTGAAGCCAAACCAGATCAGCCAGAAAAAAAGGCTAAGGAGGCTGCAGCCCCGTCCACCATCCCCTCCGCCCCACTCGACTTTGGAGGGAAGATAGGTAGGAGGATAGGAAAAATGCATTTTCATGCCACAGCCTCACTTCTGTGAGCTTGTACGAACTCTGTGTATTTGTAATCAGTTAGACACACAAAAAATTAACTATCTATCGGAGCATGGTGGTAGAGATGCCGAGGAAAAGCTGAACCTGACCAAACTGATATTGTTAATATTCCTGCTGTTTCTTGTCTTGCCTACAGGAGCGTACTTCTGGCTGCTCTTCTTGCCAGCCTGGGTTCTCTTTGTAATACTTCAAGGCAACCTAACGGACCCCAGTCTGTTCAACGCCCCCCCTCCTCTGCCTCCACTTGACACCTTCTGGGATGCCCAGGCTCTTTGCTTTGTCATCCTCTGGATCTTATTTCAGGCACTGCTTTACATCCTGCCAGTTGGAAAAGTGAGTGAGAAGATCTGAAATTTTTAAATACAAACCCTAAGTTGATGTTTGGCTTTCAACTTCAGTCTGTCTTTTTCCAAGTGGCTCCACTAAAGTGCTGCTGGTGTTTGTCTCTTTTTCTCTAGCTGAGTGAGGGCATGCCACTGAGGTCTGGAGTGAGGCTGAAGTACAGAACCAATGGTGAGTCTGTGTGAAGCCACTCCCAATAAGAACATACTACTAAGTCACGTCACTGACGATCACTCATTTGTAACTGTAGCTTCATCTGAATCGATAAATGTCTCTGTCCTTTTTTTTTTTGTGCTACACTGTCTATACTAAAGAACTATAGTCATTTATTTGTGTCATGATATTTATTATTATTCTAGTTGTGGTGTTCAGTATATTTTTTTTCAGCCTCTGTGTGTACCTCCAGGTTTCTTTGCCATAATGGTGAGTGCTATAGTGGTGGCAGTAGCACTGCACCAGGGTGCTGATCTTACCTACATCCACAGCCACTTCCTCCAGCTGGCGACTGCCACCTTCATCATCTCCGTCCTGCTCAGCATCTACCTGTATGTTCGCTCTCGCTATGCCGCCTCAGAAGAGCTGGCACTGGGGGGAAACTCAGGTAAGAAGATTGCGTACATTCTGTTGTGCCCCTTCATCTGTTTAATTTGCCAGTTTATGTGAATCAGCAGACCTTGAGTTTGCTTCTGTCTTTTCTCCAGGCAATGTGGTTTATGACTTTTTCAAAGGACGTGAACTTAATCCCCGCATCAAAAACTTTGATCTGAAATTCTTCTGTGAGATGCGCCCTGGACTCATTGGCTGGGTGGGTTGTCTTTGTTTCATTAGTTCTGCTTCATCTGTTTAAAATTAGTCTGAAGCACACATTGCGCTCTCTGCTGGCCATCCAGGGAAATACCTTTTAAATTTAAGTCATCTGATATAACTAAAAGAGTTCCTTGTGTCTGTCTGCTGCTGTAGGGTTAAATTAGAGCATCAGTTTAGATTTGATTTAAAGAAGAAAGACGTTCCTTCTATATTGAGCTGAATATCTTTGAATCGTTTAAATTTATTTATTTTTTTAAGTTTAGGTTAGGATGGTTAGGGAAAGTGATAGAAATGTACTACTGACTAAATAAAGTGTGTTAAGAAGATGGAATGAGTCCTTTGAGGAGTTCATGAATAAAGAAAATGAGACATAAGAGACCGATAAACGACAGTTAGTGAATGAAGAAGTGAGGGCAGCTATAAAGAGTACAAGGAGTGGAAAGATTGTTAATCTTGATGACACTTATGGAGATATGAGGTGAGATGGGTAGGGAGAGACAGAGCAGTGGACGTTTGTGGTTTCGCAAGTGACTCAAGAGTTGTTGGGCATATTGGATGTGTAGCAACCACTGGTTGGTAGGAAAACTGGTATAATATTGTATCTCAGGGGTATCCCTGACTGGTCACACCTGTGTGAATAGGGCCTTTTTCATGTCATCCTTTGTTGTTACATGTCCAAAATGGCAGCCAAAGTTAATGTCACTTGGTTGGTGGTCATGTGTCTACAAAACCTCAGTAGTTTAAGGTATGCTGCTTTGATGCTGCCTCAGCATTAGGTTTTCCCACACATTTTAACATTTTTTGCGTTCTCCACAAATGGCAGTTCTGCATTACGGGTGATCAGGAATCTTTCCTAATAATTTTAGTTCTGTGTGTTTTATGTGTGCAGTGTTTGATCAACTTTGCCATGGCGTTGGCTGAGATGAAGAAGCACAATCTTGATGCTCCATCATATGCCATGATCCTAGTGAACCTGTTCCAGCTGCTCTACGTGGTGGACGGCCTCTGGAATGAGGTAAGCTCAGCAGAGTATTTTTCTATGCCAATTTTACACGAAGTAACTGGTCAGGTTCACAGGTTGTAAACTTGCCAGTCTATCTGTTGTTCAGACCAAATGAATGTGTTTGTTTCCCAGGAGGCTATCCTGACCACCATGGACTTGATGCATGATGGTTTTGGCTTCATGTTGGCTTTTGGTGATCTGGTGTGGGTTCCTTTTACGTACACCTTGCAAGCGTATTACCTGGTCCTCCATCCCAATGCCCTGAGCCTGCCAGCAGTCATAGCCATCGTCACACTCAAATGTGAGGGAGAGCATGAAACTGAATTCACTCACCCTCTTCATATGTTTTCAATATTTTGCTGAGTCATTCTGGTGTTTGATGTGTCCTTTCTCTCTGTATTTCAGTGATTGGCTTCTATATCTTCAGAAAATCTAACTCTGAGAAGAATGCCTTCAGGAGAAACCCATCCAACCCTAAACTGTCCCGTAAGTTCTCCTGTGGGCTTATCCCAAATTAAGTCTCGTTTATGCAACAGGCTCATGTTTCTTTTCCTGATGAACATTCTTTATTGTCTGAGGTAATAGTACTAAGATGAAATAGTCCACTAAATACACTTTTTTTTTTCCTTCCTGATTCTGATTCTGATTTTTTTTTTTTTTTTTTAAATTAACCCCTCAGCTGTTGTAGGCTGATGGGGTTCTATTGCCCACATGGTACCCAGTCCTTTTTTTTTTTTCATTCAGTTTATAATACTCGTCAGTCTAAACAGCAATCTGATGCAGAATGGCCTAAATCTTAATTATCAACATTACATAAAGACAAAATGAAATTAAACACAAATGAGTTATTGCATGTTTCTCAGTACATGTTGGTACTATTCAGTCATCTTTTTATTCTTGCTGTCTCTCCAGATTTGAAAACGATCCCTACAGCTACAGGGAAAAGTCTCCTGGTCTCTGGCTGGTGGGGAGTGGTTCGCCACCCTAACTATTTGGGAGACCTCATCATGGCTCTGGCCTGGTCCCTACCCTGTGGTGAGTTTGCTTGGCATTTACAGTTAATGTAATAAAGAATGTAGGATGCTAAATACAAAACAAGTCGAGAGCAGGACAGGCAGAGGAGTTTGTAGCAGCACAGAAGCACCCTATTATTTTTAAGTTCATGTCATTTTTATATAGCACCAAATCAAAACAAGTCGCCTTAAGGTGCTTTATATTGTAAGGTAAAGACCCAACAATAAAACAGAAAACGCCAACAATCAGACAGCCCCCCATTTTGTGATGTGTGCAAAAGGGAAATCTCATGTTGAAATTAATGTGCCCATGTAAGTAGTTCAGCCTCTCATTGTGTTGGTTTGCCCTCTGGTGAACACAATGTGATGTTTGGTACTAGTTTGAATCCTCACAGGGACATAAAAACTGCACATTGCCATGGTGTAATCTGGTTTAAAGACTCAATTCTGCTCCACAAGTTTTTTAACTTTTCCCTGGACGGCGTAGTTAATCTGTGAATGTTTCCATTTGTCTTGAGTGTCTCTTTAATGTTTCTGATATTAACTTGGAAAAAAATGTTCTGGAGTACAGTCAGGCTAAAGCGATGTGGGCCTTGTTTTGTCACTGCAGGTTTCAGCCACCTCCTGCCGTGGTACTACATGATCTACTTCATCATCCTGCTTGTACACCGAGACTCGCGTGACATGAGCGAGTGCAGGAGGAAGTACGGCTCGGCATGGGACGAGTACTGCAGAACTGTCCGCTACCGGATCATCCCCCGCGTCTACTGAGGAAATCGACCCTGGACACTCAGAGCTGAGGACATTTTTTGTTTGTTTTAAACCCAGTATAAACAGCTGTGTGAAGGCTCCCAAAATATGAATGGATTGACCGATTTGACCTTTTGTACTTTTTATTTTTTTGATTGCTTAATTCTGAACTGAAGGAGGACTGAATTTTTGATGATCATGATATTATGGACTTTTTGAAAATTGCCTTTTTTATAATTAAAAAAAAATTAATGTATACATAAAAGTTTACAAAACGAGGGGAAAAATGAAACGCCTCTGCTAGGAATGTCTTGTTAGGATGTATATTTTTGTATATACATATTTTGTTTTTATACTTAAAGAATAACACACCACATGCTTATGTTTTTGGTACATGTTACCGTGCCCCAATTCTAAAAATTTTACAGCATCAGCTTGGCTAATATAGATGATTTTGTAAGTATGGCTTCCTGTTAGGAATTCTGTGGCTTGTGCATATTGTGAAGGATGGGATGGAAACATGCTACCCCTCTCTGATAAGCTGTACAGTGGAACTAGGACTCGTGTTTCTTCTCAGGACCAGGGATGTTGTCAGAAAGTCAGATTAGAAAAGTTTTGTCTTAATTTTGATGTGAATACTTTTATAGAGAGATCTAGTTTTGATTTGAAATTGTAAAAATGATATTAGAGGCTTTGAGAAAAATGCACTAATGCGTCAAAGCATTTTTTTTTTCTTTCTTTTTGCGTGATCACTTCCAAAGTGTTTAAATTTGGCTTTGCTACCTCAGATTCACTCACTGTCCACTTCTTCCTCCTTGGTGCTCTCTGGGAGGCAGTGTGTGTAATTATGAGTGTAATGTCACTGCTACATGACATAAACTTGTGAATATGTAATTTTCTAATTTGAACATGTGGCAAGTCTCCACATCACAGGTGATGGAACTTTGTTGGTTTTTTTTCACCTCCCCACCTTTCCCACAGTTATTTCTAGATGTTTGCCTCATCGTGTTCTGGGTGATGATTTCTCTGCAGTTTCACATCAATTTGGTGTTTTTATCTTTTCAAGCTTTAACTTGCCAGGTCAGCTGACAGTGACCACTTAGTGAAGTTTATACTGTGACAACATGAGGAGCAGTCGACTGTGTAAGAATTTGTAACCTGTGCATTTTCAAATCCAAATTAAGTATTTTTATGCCTGTGCAACTGTAGGCGATAATACAAGTAGCAATAGATAACTCCATTGGGTAGCATTTTTTTTTAAAATTTTTTTTTTTTTATGCTGTTCTGACTGAATACCATGTAAATATTTTTTAATCATGTTTTAATTAAAGTAAGTAAAAGTAGTAATGCCAGTAATGTTTCTCATTAGATATTTAATGTTGCTTTTTAATTTTGACCACTGTAGGCCACTGTTTCCACACTTAGATCTGCCATGGTTCTAGACAAAATTCACAATTGATTAAAGGGTTTTAGAAAGGTGTATATACTCTTCACCTGATTAGAGAGGGGAAAACAATTAAGTCTGATCCTTGAGACATTGACCATTCTCTTTGCTCCAGGACCCATTGTGGTAATACAAAACTTGTTTGCTTTGACTGTGACTGGTGAGCAATACTTTGGATGTATTTTGATATATGACAGCAATAAATAAGAATATTAACTAGTCCAGGAAGCTGCCTATCAGTTCTGTGACAGCAACTGGACAAAGCTAATCTGTACAAATGTTGCGGCATGAAATAAAGAATTACAGTATTTCATTTTCTTGTCTGTATTTGTTTATTTCATTTGAAAAGGGGGCATAAGCAATATTAACAGAAATGTTGGTGGCTGGCTTTAATGAGACATAAGTGAGTGTCTCTCTCCGAGAACAGACTGGACAGGAAGGTGTTTCAGCCTTGCTCCATATCGGGAGGTTTGTATGGCTGGGTGAGATGTCACATACAGCTTGGATTAGACATTTGATGTCCTAGGGCTCTGCATTGGATATCTGTCCAAGTGAGCCTTCATTTTTTTTTTTTTTTCTTCACCTGTCCCGTTTGGTTCTTTTGCCATCACAAATATTGTCTAAAGGCAAAGAAAGATCCCCAACGGATTTACTTTACCAAATGGACCATCCTAGCCTTGCCGTATTGGTCTATTTGATTCACCTTTGTTTTAATTGTTTATTTTATTTTCACTTGCTACTCACGGGACAGACATGACTGAGGGAAAGAAAAGGGAGAAAGAAAAACAGCGGGGAAGAGGAACTGTGATAAAGGGCAAAAAAACAAAAACAAACAAACAGTGAGCCTTCATTTTATTGGATTCTCCCATTTAATCCAAGCTCCCTGCCCCCTCATGCCTGCCATCTTCTGGGGAAGAGATGAGAAAAGATGAGAGCCCTAGAACTTGTTATATTGAGACACCGGAAGGCTCCACAGTCCTGATCACAGACAAGAATTGCCTTGAATGGAATTAAAATGTCATTTAATTTCAGTTTTGAAAGCACGAATTATTCCTGTTGTGCAGCAAAGTGTGAACATTGTTTCAGTTGACTATCATAACCCCGGATTCCATTTCCCCCTGCTTTTTATTTCCCAACCAATTTAAAAACATTTTCCCCATAAAATACTACAACTCCCATGATCCTTTCTTGATATCCCCACATGCATTTGGTTTCTAGGACAAAAGTCAGTTCTTGCCTGCTCACGCTTCGTGCTGTTGCTGCGTTCAGCTCTGGTTCAGTTCAGGGACACAAGGGCGGGAAAAAAACGCTGGTTTCGCAGTGGAGCAGAAAAGCGCCGCCAGCAGCGAGCAGCCTTCTGGACCGGACCTTTAATAGTAAAACTGCGATGAGCTATGTTACTTTTCCTGACTGCTGAATTGTTTTGATTTTATGAGCAGAAGAAGAAGCGACCAACAACCTAAAAGGTACGACCACCTCGCATACCTCCAGTAAAGAGCTCGACTAGATTAACTTTGACATAAATAGTGCGTGGGAAAGCTCCCACTGTGTCGTCGTCAGTTTTTGTTAGTGACTTGTAGCTTTATGATAATACCTGTGAGCAAAATATCAATATCATATATAAACAAGTTGTATCATTTATTTCGTTTATCTATTTTTAAAAATATTAAAAATAGTCATTAATCTGTGTTCGTAGCTTGACCACACTGTAGCGTTTTTGGATGGATCTAGAGCGGCAGATGCATTTCTGGCTGCAGTGTTCGTGTGAATGGGGCAGTTTGTTCGAGAAAACAGACCTATTTCATTTGACTAAAAGGGCTAACAGCCACCAGGGATGCTGAACTTTATACAGTGTATCCTCTTTGAATGAATACACACGCAAACAGGGTCTCAGTCCAGACTTTTCCACCAGTGGATTGCAGTCTGGCCCGTGTTAGCTGCCACTGATGTGTCCGGTAGTGGTGGGCGGATCGATCCAAATATCGATAGTATCGATCCCAAGTCGGCATCGGTATCGGATCGATACTAGCCTGGTGATATCAATTCTTTACTTTGAGTTCTGCTCATTTACAACGCTGTGCTTTCGGCAAAAACGAAACAACCAGGTCGCTGGACTCACCGCTCCTGTGTCAGCGGAGAGCAGGCACACTTTGCTCCCTCTCCCCCACTCTTATGTTTTGGTGTTGCACTGACACGTGATGTGACTTAGACACTTTGGGGGTTGTTAAGTTGTTTACATATTAATTATATATATATTTTTTTGTTGTTGAGAATTTTAATTGTAATTTTTGTATTAGTTTAACAACAGTATTTGTTTTAATTTGTTTACTGGTTTGCGTGCACTTAAGATTAAAAAAAAAAGATCGCCACCACGGCAGACCCGATGGCATTTTCATGCTTCGCAGCATCATTTATTCTTACAATAATCACACGGTTGTTGTAACAGTACATTCAACGGCTTCAGCTCTCCCGCTAACAGCCGTACACATCACCACCACCAAACCTGCAGCAGCATCGCAGAACATGCCCTGCCACATACCCTCCTCGCCCACTTCACCTCACCCCGCGAGCAGGCGAGGGAATTGGCCCGGACCATCGGCGCCCCATGCCCCAGCCCAGCGACGGGGAAGTGTCCACTCTGGCGGTCGCCCGCGCCTCCAGCGGAAGCCCCGGAGCTGACCTGATGACCACCCATGACAAGCAGCAGCGGCGCCGCAGCAGGCGTGGAAGTGAGCTGGGGCTCACAGGCAGCTGGGCAGACGGCCGGCACGCAGGACTATGCAGCCTGCGTGCCGAAGTGGACAGCACGCCGCCCTCAGGCGTGGCAGGAGCCCCGCGCACCTCGACCTCTGTCTCCAGCTTGGCAGGTCCCGCTGGCGCACCAGCCTCCGGCTCACCCCTAGCCGCGCGCTGTCCACAGGGTTGCTGTAACAGTAGCCTACATTCAATGGCTGCAGCCCTCCTGCTGCCAGCTGTACACATCAACACCAAAAACAACAACAGCACAAGCAGCGCACAGGTTTTAAGCCGGCAAGGCATCATGAAGGTGAGTTCATCTCACCTTCACTGCAGCAGCATCGCAGACCACGAGCTGCCACAATAATAAAACGTTTTTTATTTAATTATAAATAAATTATTTCTCCTAATTATGTCCTGGGTTTTAACTAATTAGTAATACCAAAGGAAACATCACAAAAAACACTTAAGGTTATGAAAATGAATTGCGATTTAGCAATTCAATGAGGCATCCACCTTATTTATTGAAAAGTATCGGTATTGGTATCGGCGATACTGGCCCGAATTTACTTGGTATCGGATCGATACCAAAATATGCAGTATCGCACACCACTAAGTGTCCGGTGTTCGCTGCTCGGTTATTGTGGATTAATACACTGTGTGAGTGTGCGCATGCACGCTACTGATCGTGAACAGCTTTGCCATACTGCTCTGTGACTGAGGTGCCGCTCGGTCTTGCTGTCTAATCCTATTAGCTAACCCCAAAACAACCATACAACACAACACTGACACTTTGTGTGCTCGACGTTTTTTTTTCCTAAACTCGTGGCCATAACAAGTGACTCAACTTAAGTTAAAGTCTGTCCGATCTGTGGAGTACTGCTATTCAGATTCTCAGCCTGAACTTCACTAAAAGTACCAATAGTAGCTTTATTATGAGTAAAAGCCCCGCACAAGATCTAGCATAAACTATTATATCAGCATAATCCCTTTAACTTGACTTGGTGCTCTTTTCCTTTAGTTTCTAGACATCACCCCCTCATTTCGCCAGACTTTAGAGCAATAGCTGTTCAGGCTTTCTGAAGATCTTTCAAAGTTCTGTGGAGATTTTCTGCTGTTTTGTGTTAAACCACTGTAAATGGAGTTAATTCCCAAAAAAGACACCTAATTTGGCAAAGAGCAATATTAAATGGCATCATTAGCACATTGTTCCCAGCATCTTGTTCAAAAGACACATAATTTATTCCCATTTCTTCAGTTAAATCTATAAAAATTGTCAACGATGCCACAGTTGACAGACATAGTATTTTTCCACCAACAAGGTGATTCCTAAAGAGCTACAAGTCTTGGCACATGTGCACTTAGTCCTTTAAAAAATCTGAGGAAACTGGATAAGTATACAATAAAATAAGAAGTCACAAGACACTCTACAGTAGGTAAGAGGTATCTGAAAATCATGCTCATAGTAAGTAAATCTAGCAAAGACCTGAGACAGGACCTGAGAGATGAGAGATGCATCTGGGCCTTCAGTTGATCCATCTATTGTTTACTGAAGCCTCATCAGAACTGGTCTCATTCGAAGGGTGGCTGTCATACAGCCATTCTTAAGGAAAGGAAAAAGGGAGAAAAGGCTGAGGTATGCTAATTTGCACATGAACAAATCAACGCACCCACTTCCAATTTTCCTTGAAAAATATAAGGATCCAAGGAGTGGTACAATGCTGTATATTGTTAGAGAACTCGGCTGTCAAACTCCTAAAGTTTGCAGATGACACCACTGTCATTGGCCTCATTCAAGATGGTGATGAGTCTGCATACCGGCAAGAAGTTGAGCGGCTGGTACTCTGGTGCAGTCAGCACAATCTGGAGCTGAACACTCTTAAGACTGTAGAGATGACAGTGGACTTCAGGAGACATCCCTCAACTCTGCTCCCCCTCACCATATCAGACAGCCCTGTGTCAACTGTGAAGACCTTCAAGTTCCTGGGTACAACCATCTCCCAGGACCTGAAGTGGGAGACCAACATCAACTCCATCCTCAAAAAGACCCAGCAGAGGATGTACTTCCTGAGACAACTGGGGAAGTACAGTCTTCCACAGGAGCTGCTGATCCAGTTCTACACTGCGGTCATTGAGTCTGTCCTGTGCTCCTCCATCACAGTCTGGTATGGAGCAGCCACTAAACAGGACAGGAGCAGACTGCAGCGGACTGTACGGGCAGCAGAAAGGATCATCGGCCCCCTGCCCTCCATCCAGGATCTGTACCTCTCAAGAACCAGGAAACGGGCAGGGAAAATCATCACAGACCACCCGACACAGGAACAGTTTCTTTCCCCTCGCCATCTCCCTTCTTAACAGTTGACCTGTCACACTGCTCCCACTGCCAGACTGCAGCTGCACCTTATGTACATTTTGTAGTATTCATTCCACCTCATTCATTTCTGTATTTTATGTATATAAGTTTAGATTCGTTATTTATAGTTGGTTTACACAGCTTTGTGTATGTATGTGTAATGTGTATATATAGACACGTGTGTGTGTGTGTGATTTACATTGCTGTGCTTGAGAGCCACCATCTACCGGAACCAAATTCCCTGTATGTGTCTGCACATATACTTGGCCAATAAACACGATTCTGATTCTGATAATATATGCTGCCAAAGTTGTCAATAATGGGGTCAGCATTGGTGCAGGTAATCCTTATGAACCTAAGTTCAGGATTTGGACTAATTCAGCAGTGACAACAACACCCTGATAACGACTGTGTTTAGTCTGTTCTTCCCATTCTGCAAGGCCACCTGGGTTGGCTGGAAGACTGTTTACTTAGCCTGCAGGGCGAAGGACACTGTCTCAGCTGAACTCTGGACACACACATACATATACACTGATATGCACACACTCATCCCCCCTCCCTTTCCAAACGCCTTCGACACTTATTCCCTTCTGATGCTGCATCCTTTACCCACCCCTGTTGCTTGTCATGTGTTTCTTTGGTGTATTAAGAGTTTTTTCATGTGCTTTGTGCAGAGGTGTTTTTTTTTCTGTTCTCAAACTGATCTCCCTGTTGGAGCTCAGTCTGGGGGGAGTTATTTTTTTCTCCTTATCTTTCCTCATGTGGTGCATTTTCCATTGTTATACCTCTCTGACCTGTCTTTCCCATGTGATGTTTTGTGTAATGTATGTATGGTTGGAGGGTAAGATGGCGCCGCCATTGCATGCAATAGGTCGGCAGCCTTATGAAATTTCCCCTTGTGGGACTAATAAAGGTATATCGATTTAATTCAATTCAAAATAAGAGTAAGGGGGTTGTGCAGTAGTAAATTGATCACATTTTTAACGTGGATGGATGCAAACTACTTCTTTTTAAAAAAGAATTATCTATTTTTGGACAAAGTGACAAAATACAGGTACAGCATAGCACAGTCTATAGATGACAGATTCATGGCTACTACCTTAAATGATGCCTGGGTGTAGATGTTGTTTCATTTTTTTTCCTCTGTCCTGTCTGTCATTCATTCTTGCAGACTCTCATCATGTTCACAGAGGTCCTACTTGCTCTGGTGATTGGTGGACTGATCTACTTCCTGGTTCAGAGGAGTAAGAATCAGGTCCTAACAACAGAGGATGGCTGGTGGGGTTCTGGAGCACCCCGTGATGCTGGGGAGGACGACACTATCCGCTCCTTCAGGGTAACCACCAGCGATCAAGAGCTGGAGGTTAGTTTTCCTCTCAGTTGGTCACACAGGATAGATGGTGCATTTGCTGCTGAGAAATTCCACCTCGCACAAATAGACTTGTACATCTTCTCTTATTTCTTGTCAGGACCTCTACAGGAGGATTGATCTGACTCGTCCTTTTCCCTCACTGGAGGACAGCCAGTTTAATTATGGCTTCAACTCGCAGTACCTGCAGAAGGTGGTGTCTTACTGGAGAAATGAGTTTGACTGGAGGAAGCAGGTCGACAAGCTCAACCAGTACCCTCACTTCAAAACCAAGATTGAGGGTGAGACTAAGCTGCCACATTCATGAAGAAGAATACTGTTGGTTGTCTCTAACCTGTTAAAAATCTGTCCAGGCATTGATATCCATTATCTGCATGTGAAACCCAAAAAGGTGCTAGAAGGGACGAGTGCTGTTCCACTGATTATGGTCCATGGCTGGCCTGGCTCCTTCTATGAGTTCTATGGATTGATCCCTCTGCTCACAGACCTGTCAAACCCACACAACCTCGTGTTTGAGGTGGTGTGTCCCTCCATTCCAGGGTATGGCTTCTCTGAAGCACCACATAAGAAAGGTGAGCCTGGGATTTCTTTACTTTGGCCACATTATCCCATCATCACTGTTGTAACAGTATCACTAGAGTCTTTTATCATGGTCAAAGACTTTAAAATAACCATATTTGTTGAAGGGGAAATAAAAAATACTACCCTGCACCCAACTTGTTAATACAAGTTGGGTATTAACGTAAATCCAGGTTGACCCTAATAAGCTAAGTAAGAAAGAAGGGGACCTTCATCATCTTCTTATCCCAGACCCTGGAGAGGTCGCAGAGTGGGGAAAAAATAAGAAATCAGAAATCAGGCACTTTTTCATATGTGCACACATGCACTTTTTATAAATGAGCAACCTAATTAGCTGCTTCTCCACTGTGTCTCTCAACTGTAGTGGTTGGACTGCAGATGGTTGCAACAGTACTCGCCAATTTTAGTGTAGTGCCTCATGAACCTCTTGCAGAGCTAGATTGGAGTTGCTCTTTAGCTCACAGCTGAGCTCCAGATGTTAAATGTTGCAGTTGGTCTGACTGTAAGGATGAGATCCTCTCTGGAGACGCAGCTGATTTATATCAGTTATCACGATTAGATCAGAGAGACCTGGCCAGTGAGCCAGCTGGTAGAGAAAACAGGATGGTCAGGGGTTAGCAGCACTAAAATAAATGTTGGAATTTACCGTTAGTAAAGTCAGTGTGAAGGAAATGCAAGAATGCTACGTTTTCTAACTCTGTCTCCATGTGAACAGGTTTTGATTCGGTCTGCGCGGCTCGTATCTTCCACAAACTGATGAAGCGTCTGGGTTTCCAGCAGTACTACGCTCACGGTGGAGACTGGGGCTGGTTGGTCACCACCAACATGGCTCAGCTGGAACCCAAGTATGTGATACAAGAGCTACACCAAATGTACTGGGTATAAATGACGTCTTATTGAGAAATATTACACCAAATTCTGAGCATGGCGATAGTTTTCTGTAGTATACTTGTTCAAAGAACAGTAGACCTCTGTGAGGCATGCAAACATTTTTGTATTTCTGGACATCTTTTTTGTAAGCAGTTTTTTTTTGTTTTTTTTGCTTCGCCCCCAGAACTGTCAAAGGCTTGCATTTGAACTTTGCCCCGCCCTCCAAGCCAGGGCTGTCCATGGCTTTGTCCATGATGCTTGGCCGGCACTTCCCTACGCTGTTTGGCTTCACTGACTTTGATATTCAGCGATTATTTCCCTGCATGGAGAAACTGGTGGTAGAATCCATCAAAGAGACTGGCTACATGCATATCCAGGCCACCAAGCCTGACACTGTGGGTAAGAACTTGGAGAAGATGGTTTCAAGCAGCATAACCCAGTTCAAGTCTGACTGGGGAGCTTGGTTGCATTTTCTTTTACTTAATATACTTCTAATCTCCCTTCAAATTATTTTATTTGCTCAAGATTCCTAAAATATTTTGTGTACATTGAATTATATTTTACTTTCTGACCCTTGAGGTCGAGGGCTGAATGACTCTCCAGTGGGTCTAGCTGCCTACATCCTGGAGAAGTTCTCCACATGGACGAGCCATGACTTCAGGAACCTGGATGACGGAGGACTCACACGGTGAATACAGCAGAATATTAGAATATGTCCCACTAATATTAGTGGAACCCCACCCCAACTGGTGGGAGCAGATGGTTGTTCCTCACCTGAGCCTGGTTGTGCTGGAGTTTTCTTCCTGTTAAAAGGGAGCTTTTCCTTCCCACTGTTGCCAAAGTGCTTGCTCATAGGGGGGTCATCTGATTGTTGGCGTTTTCTCTGTATGTATTATTGTAGGGTCTACCTTACAAAATAAAGCACCTTGAGGCGACTGGTGTTGTGATTTGGTGCTGTATAAATAAAATTGGATTGAAGGTTATAAGAAGTTGTGAACTTGAGTAGTAGCATGCGTATTAGCAGTGCTGTCTATTCTGAAATAGGCTTGTTTCCTTAGTTTTTCAGTTGTCAGTAGTCTTATATCAGTGGGGTCATGTGTTGCAGGAAGTTCTCTCTAGATGACCTGCTGACAAACGTCATGATCTATTGGACCTCTGGCTGCATTATCCCCTCCATGAGGTTCTACAAGGAAAACTTTGGCCAAGGTCTTGATGCTCCACATGCAAAGTAAGTGAGAACAAATGCCAAATTCCCATAAAGCACATCAGCAACATCTTATTGGTTGAAAGGTGTTTGTTGTTAACAGTCTTCAACAGCTCTGTGCCACCCAACTTTGTCATTTAAAAACCTAATTTTGAAATATTCAGAATGACTTGTTTAGTAAAATCTAATGCTGATTCACAACTCCAGGATACCAGTCTATGTCCCCACGGGTTTCGCCTGCTTCCCCAACGAGTTGATGCACACGCCCAGGCTGTGGGTCAAACAGAAGTACCGTAAACTTGTGACCTTTACTCCCATGGACCGCGGTGGTCATTTTGCTGCTATGGAAGAGCCCCAGCTGATGGCAGAGGACATCCAGAAGTTCACAAAGATTGTGGAAGGGAAGGTGAAAGAGTAGAGGGTGGACTGACAACGGTATGAATAGACATCAGCTGGGACAAAGTTCTGAGCAGTAAGTGGACATACTTCATCTAGAATCAGAGTCTAAGCTTTGTATTTCTTATCTGAAGTGGATTCTGTAAGATAGGATAGCTCTCTAAGTGACACTATGATAAAGTCATATGCAGTGTTAATGGTGAAATAATGAGTGGTGGCTGAAATTGAAAATTTGTTGAGAGGTTGGGTTACTATGAAAATCACAGCTTGTTTTCAATCTACTGTTTAGAATTTAAGGCTACACCTTTCATTCTTAAACTTGCAGTTTATGTTTATGAAATTTATGGAAAAGTTGGACGTAGTCTCTGGTGAAAACTAGAGCTTAAACCTGCATTCTTGCTAAAGGCCAGCAGGGGGTGGCAAATCTGATTAAAGAAATGATCCTGGTTGTATAGAAGTCTATGGAAAAACCGCACAGCTTGTCACTTGATACATGCACTCAGTAAAAACTTTACTGATAGGCTTTTGGTGTCAACTGAAGGTTTCATGTCTTGTTAAATATAAAATGATACCATCTTTGCATTCTCTTTGATCTACTTGGAGTAAAGTAGGAAACAAAACAAGGTAAAATCGCACAGCTGCAATAATGATTGTGCAGAGTCTCTCAGTTTCTCAGTCAGATTTACCCTGCCCCATGATGTCTGGTTTAAAAACATCAAGATGGCAATAGTTGCGAGGTTGAAGTCAAGTTTTAAAATAGCTACAAAGTAGTGGGTGATGTGACAGTGGTTGGATCCATCTTTTATGTCTGTGATGTCTCAGTCGTCCAGGTCATCGTTGTCTAAGGAGCTTGGAAAGAAAAGCGTCTTTCTGCAACTTCCCACTCCATGAATCCAGGGGTCGGTTCACTAGTTTCTAACTTCCTTACAGCATTTCTCAGCCTCGTAGTTGTTAGAACAGTTTCTAAGCAGCTGCAGATGGGAGGTTAGGGGGCACATGATGGGATAGTGTTGACAGCATAAACAAGGTGCCAGGCATTCCTCTGACTGATAGCACGAAACCTCTGCACTTAAGCCACAACAATAATAACACTTGATTGCCTTAAAGCTTCAGGTTACGTTTTAATTTATTTTTTTTTCAGAGTCATTTAAAACTAACTTGGAAATTGAAAACCTTTGAAGTCAGACGTCTGTTGAGACATTCCACAACTTCTTACGCAGATGATCCTTTACTGCCTTGGAGTTACTTGCCAGGGTCTGTAACGTGCATCAGATTTACATCTTGTGTCAGTTAGCTTTTGATTGGCGGCAGTTTACCCCACCTTGATGTTGGTGCAAGTTAATTTAAAATATATATTTTACTATCATGACTAGAAATTCCTCATTTGAGGCCTAACAATATAGTGACAGTGCTGCAAAACGAGTTAAATCACAATCAGAGCTCCTGATGTCTCTTTAAGAGTTTCCTTGTATGTCTGCTGTTGCCTTTAAAAGTCAATAAAGATGTCAAATTCAGAACAGTAAGTTGCAATTTTGTGTATGTTGCCTTTCCAAAATCACCAGACTGACCTCTGGCTGCATTTTAAACCCAATAAAACTGACGCTGCTTTAAATTTCTGTATTTCAGTTTCAGTTTTTGACTCTCTGACACAGCTCCACTGCTAAAGACTCATTCTGAGAAGTATGTGTAAACTTTACTGTGTGTTTGCACGTTTCTGAAGTTTCTTCTGTGTAGAAATGTACGAAAGCCACAGACCCAAACTGGCTCCCAGTCTGCAGCTCATTTTGCAGTTCTAGGATTCTGTAATTCAGACAATGTTTAAAATGTCCCACATGTCTACACAGTCTGGACGTGTGATAATTCAAGTTGTGGTTGGAAATGGTAGCTAATGGGAGTGTTGGTTACATTACCACTTTGTCCAAAATTAACTTTATTGTAATTGTGCATAAGATTTTATTATTTAACAAGTTGGAGGGCCTTTAAAAAGCTGTTATTCAAGGTGGTCTTTGGTTAAGATGTGAAGCCTGAAAACTGCAACCTGGGATTAAATATTTAACAGTTTGCAAACAAACTCAAAAGTCTGATACCTCCAGATATCAGACTAAATTATATATTTAGTTGTCAACAATGGGAAAACAAATAGCCCAGATCGTTTTGTTTTATTCCAAATCCGTGCTTTTTGGCTAACACTGAGCTTCATTGTTTGTTGTAATTATAATTGTGTTCTTCAGTAAGCAACCCAAGTCCAAATGTCTTTGGCTCTAGTGGAATGTTTTTTTTTTTCACAAGTCACTCTGACCTCTTCAGAAAATATTTTAATCTTTCTGTGCTGCCAAAAGGTGTTCCTCCAGCCTCTGTGCATGAGTTTGTGTGTTCAGTATATTTCTTTGTATTGAAACGTTTTATCCTAGTTATAGTGTGTTTGTCTGAGGCCTGTATTCACCAGCTTGAGTGAGTTTCAGCAGAAAGCTTTCTAACTTTTCATTTCCATTCACATCATTTTCTAATGTAAAATGATCAGATTAAGTAATTCTTATGTAATCCGCTTTCTTAAACAGTCTTTTGTGTTTGTGGGATCTAATAAGTGAGTTATGCAGATGTGCTTGTCCAGCTTTGCATTATTAAAAAGCTTATCCGGTTCTGAGTTTCAATAATCCAGACGAGGGCTGAAATGCTCCACGTGCCTGCTGTGTCTGTTCTTGCTAACCAGCTTGGGTGACCTTTGCTGCGTGTCACGTGCTTCTCTGTGAGAATAAAACCTTTGAGCAAAAAGCCTCGGAGGCAGATTTTGATTTCAGGCTCAGTTCTCCGTTTCTTACATGGAATAGGAAGCTGAGCCTCACTACTAGGGTTGCCCAAGATTTTGGATTTGACAGCTCTGACTACCTTGCTAATCCTAAACACTTGCTGGTGTGATGTACAGCATTAGCTTGCCACAAAATCAGATTCATGACTGTTCAAGTCAAAAGTGCTCCAAGGCCATAAATGTATTTCTCACTGCTCCGTTACATCCCATGTCGCGCTGCCCCAGAATTCTGTTTCCAGCTGTTAGCACAGCTTTGAGGTTCCCAAGGCCCCCACAGTGCCCTGGCTCAGGACACCCTCCCAGAGCAATACTCCCCCAGGCCTGACTGCCTGCCTGCCTGGAACTCTTGGCAACCAAGCAGCCAGGGGAGGATCAGGATGACCGGGCGGCTGAGATAAGGACCACATGAAGTTCCCCACATTACCTCACCCGATAAGGAAACGAGCAGAGATTCACGGAAAGCCAGAGTGAGAGAGGGATAGAGACAGAGACGGTCAGACTTGGGAGGATGTCTCTGGGTGGATGGTGATTCGCAGAGAAGCAGCCCTTGTTTAAGGGTCTGGGTGGAACTGGTGTCCCACAGAAGTCTCATGAACTCTCCAGAGGAGCTTGGAGCTGCCCGCAGCAGGAAATCATCTCATTAATAACTTCATGAGATCAGATGAGCATTTCTGCTGTTCTTCACTTAACTAGTCACATCTCATATCCAGATTTGACTTCAAAAATGTGCTCACACTAGATGAAGGGATGACCTCAGATTCTGTTTTCTTTTGGGTCCAGCAAAGTACCTAGGAAAAAAAAGTATCTCTCATAGCAATCTCCAGCACTGGAAAATAAAGCTTCATCCATCCAATGAAAACACACTGAATGTAATTTAATTTCTCGAGACTTGAAGGGAATCTACTGCAGCACTTTGGCAGCACTCATGGCAGCGAATCCTCTGGAAGGTCTCATGTTGGTTGCAGAAAACCACCGGCTGGTTTCTGGTTGTGCAGCCGAGCCGCAGAGCCGGCAGCCTCTTTCGTCCCAGAGCCCAGCCTCCCCGCACGGACACAAGCTGAGCGTACGCAGCAGTCGGGAGTCCAAGAAGTGGGTGAGTTTGAAATAATGCTCCAGGTTTTTTTTCCTCTTCTCAAACTCAAACATGACCCTGATTTTCCAGACAAATTATGCAATGCAGTGATTGATCACTTCCAGCAGCTGGTGGGAGAGTGCAAATCCTTTCTTGCATGATATGAAGAATTTCATGAGAACATCTAAAATATGTGTTTATTTAAAGTAGCCAAATATAGTCAGTATTTTTCTCAGCTGTGGCACAGCCTCATACAATGTGTGGAGGAGCTTCCCTCTTCTGAGGTCTGGTTCAATCAGTTTGTATTAACCGTAGTGACATGGAAACGCAGAGAAACCCAGACAATTAGAGAAGGGCGCTTGGAGAACAAACAAAGTAGTCACTGTGTCACCTTGTTGACTTACGTGCGAGCGGCAGCGATCATGTGTGGATGTGTGCTGATGAAATATATTTGTGACTGCTTGGGTCTGTCCTGCAGGTTGACCTGTTTTCTTCTCCATTAATGCAGAACTTAAAGAGAGAGCAGCAGTGTTTTGTACACTGTCAGAGCAGCAATAATGCAGTCACAAAATCAGAACGCTTTTGTTTCTTTTAGTAATATTTGATAATCAGTCTGCAGAAATGTCAGGTTCTCGGCGTGCTCTTTGCAGCAGGTACAATCAGTGTGCGGGTCCAGGTCAAACCCCGGTTCTGGTTGTGGGTCCGCGGTCCTGAACAGGGCGCTGAGGGCTCAGCACTCCCCGGAAAACGCAGCCCGAGAGAGGAGCAGAGTACGCAACCTGCGGCAGGCCTTTCACACTCTGCAGGTACAAAACATACACACTTGCCTCAGAGCTGTTACGTTACAGTGCACTCTCAGTAGTTCTGCTGTACGCCCGTCTTTGGTGACGGCTGAAAAAGAGGCCGTCACAGCTGCTTCTCCCTTCTTTGCAGGCAGCTCTACCTTCAGTCCCACCTGACACCAAGCTCTCAAAGTTGGATGTTCTGGTTCTGGCTACTAACTACATAGCTCACCTGACAGAGACCCTAGACCAAGGAGGGATGCTAACGGAGCACACGGCCTCAAGGCCGGGTGGATACCTGCATCCTGTTAAGGTTAGAAAGTGACAGCTCACTGCCTTCCATGCTATGCCCATTATCGACTTACTCACATAGATTATACAACTTGAAGACTTGCTAATTGGCCATCACTAGTCAATAATCTGTTCACTGTGCCTGCGCAAAATACTTTTAGCTACATTCGAGTAAAAGAGGTTTTCACAGGATTCTCTGCAGTTCCTTTAGCGCTTGTTAAAAAATTCAGGTGTTTGTTAACACAGTACCACGAAGTAAGAGCTATACCTCAGAATCTCCAGGCATCAGTTAGCATGTTAAATGTTAACGTTTGTCTCCGTAAGACTGAACAAGTGTGGCTTGTTCACACGTTGAGTGTAATGAGCTGTTTCAAATATAGAATGTACAGAATTTCAGAATGTGTAGCTGTTCTTAGATTAAGCCTGTGATCAGACGTCCAGCATGACTCTGGATAAATGTGTGTCTCTTCTCAGAAATGGCCCATGCGTTCTCTGCTCTACTGTGGGAGTGTGGGAGAGCTGCTGTCAGCCAGTCAGATGACTCCACCTGGACAGGACAGGACACACCCACTGAGCCCTACCTTAGAAGGAGACGATGAGTGAAAGCCTGTTTTATGCTGTTTTATATCTTTAATCGTAACCAGCTATTGGTAGCAAAGGAGACATCAAAAGACACTCATGTGCAGAGATGGGCAAATTTCAAAGGATGTGGTGCACCGCTGCTGACGTGTGCTTAAAGACGAGCAAGGCAGACATTTTTATGTTACATACAAACAATGATGTTTTTGTCAAATTACTTTTTTTAATCTAAATGCGGAAGTTAAATGAACTTTAATGAACCTGCAGCTAAGTTTTTACTTTCTGGTGTTGGATTTCTTTCTTTTAAATTAAATGTGGTCATGTGTCTTAAACAGAAAATAAAATGTGTTTGTGGAAAAAAAAATCATATTCTCCCTGTAAGGACGAGTCACCTGTTTGCTTTTTTTTTTTTTTTTTTTTTTTAAATAAAGTCTACGTTTGTGAGGTTTTCCTACTTTATTATTTGAATGTGTGTGTGTGTGTGGGGGGGGTCTGATCACTGAGTGTTCATTACAGCAGTGCCACAGAATGTAACCATTTACTTGCACTAGGACAGCAGCGACTCTTAACGGTTCACGCAGGTTCAATAATGTGTAGCGTAAGACCTCCTATACAACTCATCCCATCCATGCTCGACCTACCCCAGATGATCTCCTTGTAACATAAAAACAGTGATTATAATTATCAGAAATCACTCCAGAATAGCTTTGTGGTGTTTTTGAGCCTGTAGAGTTACTGAGCATTAAAGTGAATATCACTGAAAATGTCCAGAGTGCCACCAGACCCCCGCCAGCAGCTTGTTCACCGACCTTCCATCCCTCAACTTTTAAGTTTTAAGAGTTCTTAAGACTGCAGTAAACAGTAACGATGGAAAAGGATCCAGGTTGAATAGAAGTGAAATAAAGTTCTATTTATAATATGTTTTTGCTACAAAAATCACATGAATTCACTTTTATTTCTCCCCACCCCTATCCAGCTGCCCCACCAGTGAGGCCCACCCACAGTCTGATCGACACAGTTGTACAATACTGCAAAGACAAATCCAACAGTCCTCTGTTCATGAAATGTGACAACTACCAATT